GTCCAAGAATTCGCGCCAGAGGCAGTCAGCCTCCTGTATAGAAGGGCGAGGGGGGTGCGCTAAATGCGACATTACAATTAAGAATCGGTACCTACTACCGAACATCGAAGAAATGCAAGACCGATTAACTAGATTAGACTAGTATACGAAGATTAACCTACGCGATGCGTTTTATATAATACGTATAGCAGCTAGATACGAATAGATAATAGCATTCCGAACAAGATATAGGCTTTACGAATTCTTAGTTATACCTATAGGACTTACAAATGCCCTAGCGTTATATTAAGACCTTATAAACGAAGTCCTCCGAGACCTTCTAGATGTATACGTTATCGTATATATAGACGATATCTTAGTCTATACTAAAGGAGCTCTCGCGGACTATATACGAATAGTATAGGACGTCTTTAAACGATTTACTTAAGTAGGATTTAAGACTACACCTAAGAAATGCGAATTCTATAAGAAGGAAGTCAAATTCCTAGGATTTATTATTAGCACTATAGGAATTAGGATCGATCTAGAAAAAACTAAGTTAATATAGGAATAGCTAACGCCTATATACGTTAAAGACGTACAATTATTCCTAGGATTAGCTAACTATAACAGGAAATTCATCGAAGGCTATTCTAAGATAGCGGCACCCCTTACGGAGCTTATAAAGAAAGACAAGAAATAGAACTAGAGTACGAAGGAAGACGAAGCGTTTAGGTAGCTAAAGAAGCAATGCGTTTCTACGCTAACGCTACGATTATTCGATAGGAGTAAGGCGGTCTAGATAGAAACAGACGCGTCGGATAGGGCTATAAGAGCATGCCTTATATAGGAGCATAACGGGAAACGATACCCGGTAGCCTATTACTCGAGAAAGATATTACCCGCGGAATAGAACTACGACATCTATAATAAGGAGCTACTTACAATAGTTGCATTACTATAATACTAGCGAGTATACGCGGAAGGAGCACTAAGTCTTACGATTCTTTCTAATTATAAGAATCTAACTTACTTCACTACGACTAAAGTACTAACCCGAAGATAGGCCCGCTAGTCGGAGCTACTAGGGCAGTACAAGTTCGAAATCCGCTATACCCTAGGACGCGAGAACGGACGAGCCGACGTACTAAGCCGCCGTAGCGACTATATAGAGGGTTACGAACTAGTATAGTAGCAGATATTAAAAGCAAACTAAGACGGAAGCCTTAGTACTAATATAAAAGAATTCAACTATATTATACGAGTTCTTTAGGATATAGAAGAACAGTTTCCAATCGAATACGGGAAATACTAAGTACCTAAGGAACGAGTTACGGAGTATATACGACAACACTACGACGGACTAGAAAATAGATACCCTAGAGTTTTAAAAACAATAGAACTAGTTAAGCGAAGCTTCGGATTCCTATATATACGATAACGAGTTCTAGAATATATTAGGAAATGTCTACAATGTTAGCGTAATAAGGCTAATAGACACGCTAGATATAGACATATCCAATTTAGGACGCTACTAGATAAACTATAGGACGAGGTTATAATAGACTTTATTACGAAACTACCGAAGTCTAAGGATCCGGTTATAGGACATAGCTACGATATAATACTTGTTATAGTCGATAGGCTTACGAAATACGCATACTTTATTCCTACTAACGAAGCAAGTACGGCAGAGCAACTCGGATACCTCGTACTAGATAGACTTATACGATACTACGGATTTCTAAAGACCTATATTACGGACAGAGACAAGCTCTTTACGTCAAACTACTAGAAGACGCTTACAGCGACGCTTAGAATTAAGTACAAGCTATTAACGGTATACTATCTATAGATAGACGGCTAAACGGAAGTTAAGAATTAGGCCTTAGAGGTATACTTACGGCACTACGTCAATTACGTACAAAACAATTAGGCATCGCTATTGCCTATAGCATAACTTGCACTAAACAACTAACAATCTAAGACTACGAAAGAGACACTATTCTTCGCTAATTTTAGGAAACATCCGCAGCTATTCGGGGAATAGTATTTATAGTATCTATACGCGGATAAAGCGATAGTCGCTTTAGAAGACTTAAAGCAGGTATATAAAGAATTGCAAAGGGCAATTACCGAGTCTTAAGAAAAGATTACGGGACTATATAATACTAAACGAAAAATGGCACCTTAGCTAAGAAAGGGGGATAAGGTCTACCTCCTAACAAAGAATCTAAAAACCCGGAGATCGACTAAGAAACTAGACTATATTAAAGTCGGGCTATTTCTAATTAATAAGCCTAAAGGACTAGTTAATTACCGACTTAAACTACCGGACGACGCGAAAATCTACCTAGTATTCTATATCTCTATACTAGAACCTATAGACGCCGAAACACCGTATTAAGAAACATTTTACTTCTAACCTAAGGAAGAAAATAAGTTTAAAGTCGAAAAGATCCTAGATTAGCAAGGTTAGAAATACCTTATTAAATAGAAAGGATACCTACATTTAGAAAACACCTAGGAACTAAAAGAAAACCTACAGAACTGTCAGCAGATAATCAAAAAATTTCAAAACTAAACAAAAAAGAAATAACTAGTATAGGAATTGAACCTACGACCTTTTAGACCCTATCGATTATAGCGCCTTAGAGTTCTTAACGACCTAGGGCAGTATAGCTCGAGGAGCGGGGACTCTAATAGCGTACCTAGCAACTATATCTTTTATAGCTAAGAATTATACTACTAGACTAACTAGCTAGAAGATAAAATAGACAGGAAACATTAAAAATACATACCTTTAAGATACTAGACTCTCGGCACTCCTATTAGGAATTTTAGAGGTAGGCTAGGACGTCCTATCTAGACGACTCTAGTTATAAGGCGATATCTATAATCGGCTATCTAGGGGAAACGGCTCGTTAGTAGGCAACGAGAATATTATCGGCTCTATAGGCGAAGAGCCTAGCTCTCTTTCGAGCTCCTCCGCCTATTAAATAGAGGCTTCCTCTACCTTAAGAGCTTGTACCTCCCGATCTTCCTTTATACGTAGCGACTTACGTAAGCGACGGACCTTTACGCGATGCTCGAAAAGCTTCCGCGTAAGAAGGTCCTCCTCCTCTTCGGCCGCTTCGAGATCTTTAGCTATCTTTAGGCGCGCTTTCCGGATTTTTTTATACTCTATACAAGTAACTTGTATATTATAGGACTAGCCGTATAGGGCGCACTCGGAGTAGCGACTAGAACGGAGATCGACTTTATAGGATTTATCGGCCTATTCGTAATAAAAGTAGCGGATTAGTATTTCGAAGCAGTCGGTAAGGATATTATTTACGATATTTTCCTTACGCTAACGAGAAGACAAGTCCTTTAATAACTTTAGTATAGCAAAGAAGTTAGAATTAGAAAGTTCCGGAATAAGGGACTATCCCGCTTAAGGAGGGGGATAGTATTACGAATCTAATTAGTTAGAGTCCTTATATAATCTTAGAGCGACGCTAAGACTAGTAGGCTAAGCTATCGCTCTATCTTACTAGGAGCGATAGGAGCGGTCGAGAGCGATAGCGTCGCTTACGTCGCTTACGACTATAGATAAGATATCTCCTTTATATTTAGGAACGCCGGAATACCCTTATAGCTCGAAGCGTTTAACTTATATTACCTACTTACTAATTAGAATTACCTTTATACTAATTATTCTATCTCTACCTCCTGCTTATATTAGCCTCTCTAAAGAAGCCTCGGCTTATACGTAATAAGAAGTTACCTAACGATCTGTCGCGAGTAACCGTAACAGTATTCTAACGTAAGGTTAGCTCTAATAGGTCTTACGTCGTAGTACTATATTCGATATCGTAGTAAGGATATAGGAGTATAGTATAATATAGACGTAGGTAGAGCGAATGTTTATAGAGCAAATATTCTTAATATAGCTATATAGAGTTACTATGCTTTTTTAATGTAATTAATTACGATCTAAGCTTGCGGTATAGAAGCGTGCGGTACGAAAAGTGCGGTACAGAAGCTTTCTATACCCCACATCTGCGAATTTGAATACGAGGATCTGCGGTATAGAAGACTTCTGTACCCCGGATTTGCGACTTTGAATATTCTTCAGCCAACCGAGCGCGCGGCAGGCGACAGAGGCTCGCGCAGGATGCATGCGCCTGACGGATAGCACTCGAGTCAACAGCAACCTGACGACTAGATATGGACTCACGCAGTCACCCGTGATCACACTACTGTTTCCACCTAGCATCCGACAGCAAGGACTTTGCGGCTCGTGCAATGCGGTGCGTGGTGAATAGTCACTAGAAGCCGACTTTCGCTCGAAGGATGCAATCGAAACCACCGTCAGAACCAGATCGCATCCCATACACAGGACTTCTACGGGGCCTTTGATTCTAGCCAAACCCGCCATTGACGCGTGTCACGATCAATCGAGGATTTAATGAAAGCATCACTCTTCCTGCAACCCAATAGAGTGGCACCTGATATTCTACATGACTTGGAAGCATCAGACTTCCTGGATAATCAGTTGTTGACACATTGCGCGACCGCCACGCTTGCATCCGCACAAGGTATCACCTCTCAGCACTCGCGCCCTTGATCAAGGCTCTCGAAATTCGAATGTCGCGTACGATTGGCATAGTCGGCACACACGGAAGGAGAAGGCAAACCGTTGTCACGCATCCGAGGGACAATGAAGGTCAAGGAAGCTCGGCATCCACGCACTCAGCGACAGCGCTCCCGAGACTCGCAGTTGAACAGCCTCCCGACAGGCTCCTTCATTCGAGTCTCTGGCTGGCATCCGCAGAACGGCCACCCACCCACTTCCTCAAACGCATGTTCACGCGCATCTTCCCCAACGCGTAATCCGCACCTTCTGGACAACGTACGTCGACTCCACTCGAACCTTCTACCTCCTAGCCGGCGCGCCCCATTCAGCATACACGACCACTGAGGCTGTCTGCTGGCAGGTGTTCCGGTTCCACGAGGCTCCTACAGTCCACTCGACGATCTGGCTGTAGCACAGCAACCACGAAGAACGAACGCCTTACCAAAGGGCTCCCATAAGCAGGTGACAACAGAAGAGCTTGGAACAGAAGTTGAACGACAACCACATGAGCATAAAATACCACATCCAGCACCTCCGCTTTAGCTGCGCTTCTCCTTCCGCTGGCTCCGAATGCCGCGTCCCCTCAGCCTGCGAAAGTCCAGAAGCTTCTAGAGCGAAAGAAAAGGGAAAATCAGCACTATGCGCGATTACGATTGACCTAGCAAGATAGATCAGCCTTTAGCAAGATGGAAGACATTATAGACTCTATCAACAAAGTCAGGAATCCGGCTCCGGCACCTCGAGTGACAGATCAAAGCCTGCATTGACGAAGCGCCCGCGCAGCGCAGCGCTGCGACTTTGCGGCAACTCAGCTGTATCAACACGATCTACGCGTTCTATGACACTGCTAGGCTGCTGCACCCACACTTTCTGACACATTGGCCAGACTTTCATGACTTCATTCATACGCACTTCGCCTTCGAAGATGCTCTCCGATAATTTGGCGATTCTACGCAGCTTGCATGCCCTTCCAAAGCCTCAGGCAATACCTATCTCAGCCAAATTGGCTAATTGATCGGCTTCCGTTTCACCTCCTCACCCGCAAGGCATTTCACAGCTCTTCAACTGCACAGTGCACGATGGCAGCAGCTTTCCGTTGCCCTATGACTGGTTGAGCCTTTTTGAAAGACAGGCTCACGACGCTCTTGCAACGACTTCGTTCTGGTTGTGACCGGCAAGCTTGCGTAGCTCTATCACCGTCATTCTGGATCAGCGGCCTTCTCTCTAGTCCATGGAGACTATGGGGTCCTCAGTCCGTCTTGTCTTACGACGAAGGCGCTCGACCCATCTCAAAGGCCGCACAACTCTGAAAATTGGAACGATTGCTCGCCATTCACAAACTTGATCAATCCCTTGCGCTGCTATATCACCTCCTTGCGATGCCCAGCTCCAGCACGACTTGACGAGCTCCGTTGGCTTCTGGCCTCAGACCAGTGCCTCGCCAATGCGGTGGACCCGTGCGGCCTTTCAACATATCATGTGGATGCGACGGATTACTAATGCCCAAACATGAGCAACGAAAGAAGTGTACCTTATACCACTGCTTGAACAGTTGGGTCTGGTAGCTGCTCAGCGAATCGTCTCTGTCCTTCGCCAGTTTGACTACCTCAAAGATGCACTAGAGTAGGTGGATGACACTGGCATGTAAATGCATCAATGCTGATATTGGACGGCCAACCCTGCTGCACAATGTATCATGCAGAATATGCCAAATTAGCCATTTCACTGGAGCTCATCACAAGCGCACTCGACGAATTCCATCAGCCTTTGCCCAGGACTGCTAGTCGAAGCTTCCCATCAGGTCACTGGGCTCTCTATACTCAGTTTCTCTCACTGGCAATTCTCCTTGGGCGAGCACTCGGCGAAAAGAGCGGGAAGCACATATGTGGCCCCATGCGCGCCAAGGATGAGTGGAAATTACTGCAGGCCATCATACTTCCCTGGACTGACGACACCAAGCGTTGAGGAGAAGAACTGTGCGCCATTGGCATGGCTGGTTACGGCATGTCTTGCATTCCGCAACCGCCCTCTTGCCCCAGACGCAATCGGTTGCTCGGTGACATAAGATTCACGTCAAATGCCCTAGAGTCGTTCCCATGGAAGTCGCTTGAGTAAGCGCTCCGTGTCTCAAACTTGGGGCAGTTTCAAAATCATAGACCAGTGGGAACATGGGAAAGATTAGCGGGCTGACAGATATCGTCAAGATGTCCTCATAGAATCCATGACACTGAACGAGCGAGCCTTGGACCGGTATACAATTGCTGGATGATCAGAAGGAGTCTTAGGCAGATATACCAGTGCTTCTTCTCTTCCCCAAACCCCACTGCCTGGTCAACAAGACAACGTTGTGCGATGAATGCAGGTAGAGAAGGCACAGCCCCGAATCGGTGCTTGGAGAGATGCAGCTACCCAAACATCTCCTCCGCCTACAAAGCCTGGAGGACTCGAAACGCAATTCAGTATCGTATGTTGCAGGTCCTGCATACTGTCGATACCAGGACAATCCGTACGGTAGACGTGCATGAACTTGTGCAGCTCCAGTACCGATCACGATCTCGCGCCTCTTGGGTTGACGTTTGTTTCTTCGGACCCGATCCCACTTTCTTTCCCCATCCCCGCACATTCTCCTCGAGAATGAAGCTCCTGCACCTGCACCTGCACTTTCCCCTCAACGCACCACAGCCCAGCCGGAGGCAGCCATACGCGGCGAGAGAATCAATCATGGAAGCACCCAAATCTCCTACTGCCACCTCGAACCTTTTCCAGAATGCCACAATTGCAGAGATATACGCGGCGAGAGAATCAATCATGGAAACGCCCAAATCTACTCCTGCCGCCTCGAAACTTCTCCAGAATGACACAATGACACCTTGGAAGGTCGAAGAGTTCATGGCTGTCACTGCATCGCCTTACCAGAGACCAGTTGGAAACACGGCAGAGTGTATGGCACAGTCCTTGCAGCCTGGCATGTGCGCTGTTTACATAGCCATGTGTGCATTCAATCCTTCGCCGCCGCATTTTCGCGTATACGAAAGCGGCTTTCTCGGCCCAACCTGGGATTTCACCCGATATCGTTCCACACTGCTCAAGTACAGCCGGCACTACTGTCCAATGCTCAATGACGGTTATTGGACAATAGCTATGATCGACTCCTCGGCAGCTACCTACGAGATCTACGACCCCCTGGGCAAGCAGCCTATCGACAACGTTCGCAAGGCAGTGCAAGATTTCGCGTAGGGAGTGACGGCACCTAGGCTTTCAGTATTAGTACCATCGGCAGACCTACGTCAACGCAACTCACACGATTGTGGCATCTTTATCTGGGTGTCCGCTGTTATGCACATGCACTAGCGGCCGTGCCCTTCGAGCATTATCCCCGACGTTTGGCGTCGGACCTTGATTTCATATCTGATCGGATTAGCTAGTTCGTCCTCTCTACCGTGCTGTCCCGACAACATCTTCCAGCGACTCAGAGCAGTGTTCGATATCCAATGCACTCTTGGCCGAGAAGGTCACCTTGCCCTCGACGCACCCTGCGAAGCGGACAACCTAAGCAGACTTCGCGAGTGCTTGCTACTTCTCGAAGCAGAATATCAGATCATCCTGGAACTATTTGGTCAGTGCGACGACTTAAAGGCTGCAATCGATTGGTACCAACACTAGAAGAGCCAAATACCCCATCACGTCAACTAGGTGAACAAGAGTGAATTTTTTCGGGAGCTCGACTAGAAGATTGGAGCGGCTTAGAGAGCGTGGAACGTGGTAGAACCATACGAGCAGAATGCCGAGACCGTACGACAGACTCTCGAAGACGACATGCGAAAATATTAGCAGTTGGCGAAGGAGGTAGCTAGGATTGGGTTACAGCTGGTCTTTCCTTCTCGCTACGAGTAGAGTCTTCTAGTGTATGCCATGCATCTGATCAACATAGGTAGCGAGTGCGCCATATTGTCTTCTTCCAGAAGAGTATATTCTTATCCCTCATTTTGGCGATGTAGTACGATCAAGACGTCCAGCTGACTCGGCAATCCTCGTTCGTGATACGTGGAAGGGAATGGGGAATGTCAGAGGGCGGCTGCTATGGCCGAGTACAGACAGACTGGGCGACATTGGATTGAAAGGACTAATGCAAACACAGGAGAATCGCCGACCGCGAGTAGCGCTCAGCTTGGTGTCAAGTACGGCTGCTCCAAACCCAATATTCCCGTAACTGGTGCAATTCTCGGCTCGCATAATATTTTTTAGGTCGCCGTTATCTGAGCAGCCATGGTCGTCCATAGTGGATGGAGGGGGCGTCAAAAGCTTCAAGGCAGAGCACGCCATGCCAACCTGAGTTGCAGTGCTGAAGAACCAGTCCAGCGATAGCCGTAAACCCGGAAACTACCAAAAGGAGTTGGTGTGACGACCACAAGTTGCCCTCGCTGAAAGCAGACCGGCACTGGGTTTGCGGATTGGCTTACCAGGTCGAAGAAAGGTGCCGAGGACCATTCTTACTCGCAGAAACAGACCCTACAATGATTGCGATGAGTGAATCAGAGTCCAAACACGATCCGAATCACGCGCTCTCCGCACGCATCACGGAATGAATTTCTGTTTCGTACTCTTTGGCTTACGGTCTGGTGAAAGCTCTTCAATAGTGCCAAGCATCGTGGGGTGGTGGCTCCTAAGGTTGATCGCTCAATTGGTGAGAAGTTATTTGTACTGCATAGGCCTGCCAATCTTCGCTCGACCTAATGAGCTCCCGAACTCTTTGGCTATGTGCTGCACCTCTGCCTCTTTCTATCCCAATAAACTTCGGCCAGGATCTGGCTGCATTTCTCCGCATGACTACGGCATGATCATCTCTCAAGCGCCGCCAGTACGCTGGCCTCAAAGCAACTCGCGTTAGGCTGGACGGCCACGTTGTCCTCGAGGGCTCTCTCGGTATCTACTTCTTCAATTGGAGGTCATTGTCGCTGCGCGCACAGCTGAGCACCCTTCAGATCCTGTCACAGTCACTGATGGCCATTAGGAATCCTTGAGATCTTGCGCTGGCGAGGACTGGTGGAAAGCTTTTCTGAAGTTTGCTCGTAAAGTTCGAGTCGTGCTCGTTTTGCGCGTCTTGGGATGGAGTGCGAAATGCTTGGGCTTGACGTTGAACGGCGCTACATTAAGAGCAGCGGTGGGATGGAGTGCGAAATGTTCTGGCGTGGCGCGTTGTACAAAAGTTCGAAGTGCTGAGGAGTTGCTCGCGTGAAAAAGTTCAGGAAGCCCGCTTCTCCTGGCGTCACGTCGCTTAGGTCAGCACGCAAACTCTCTTGCATGACAGACTCAGTATACCGCTACGACGGCTCATCAGAAATTCTCCGCCTCAGCTTATGCCATAACCATGATTGGTGATGTCGCGGAAATCATCACGCCCAGTGGGGATGGCGATGCATCCCGAGCAAAGAAGCCCCCAAAGACTGTGGTTCTCGAGCTTCAAGACCTCAGCTCAGAAGCAGAATGCTCCCGCTCCGACATCTCTTTGCCCAGGATCACATACGACGAGACTACAGCCAATTCCCACAAAGCCGGAGCACCAATTACCACGACGCTCTCTCGAAGCCGAAGCACGATATCTGAACGTATGAACAAAGCCAACGAAAGATGATCAACAGAAAAGATTGCGGCGGAACACCATCAGCGGATGAAATTGGTGGGAAAGATGTTGTACAATGCGACTATCTATATGCCGTAAGCAGTGAGTCAATGCTGTGGAAGCTTGAGGACAAGCCTGGCTGGTATCGGTCAATGCAGATGTTGCCTGATAAGATGAGTAATGCATATCACAGCTCGATGCCAGCAGCGACTGTCCTCTCCCGGTGTTACGTTGTCCGCATTCGGGACTGAGGGGAGCGGCTTGCATTCTGACGGTTCGTGAGTGCTGTTCGCGTAGCGTGGTGGCTTAACGTGTGCTGCAGCAGATGGCTTGGATTGAACCGCCTGTAATACGTTCAGCAAGGAGCGAGAAAGCCAATGGAGGTCGCATACGAGTGTCGGTGTGCATCGCCCAAGTCTCTCTTCGGGTCGATACGGCGCGCTCGTCGCCAACAGTGAAGCACTGGGCTTGCACAAGTGTCATCAATTTTCCGGCTGCCGTCTGTTCTGGTGCTGGAAGCTCGTGGGCTTCGTCGCAATCTGGTTTCGCTGCCTCAAAGACAACTCCTAGTGTCGCCGTCCACGGTGAGGTAGTAGTCAGAGCTGGTACAGGAGAAAGATCTGACGTTGAGCTTATCGTAGTGGGCAATGGTGACATCTGATCTTCCTTCCTCCGTCTCGTCGCAAACTGGTGCATCGTCACAATCTGGCGCCGTTGGCCTGGAGCCGACCATCAGCGCAAGACATTGATTCGACCCTCCCAGGAGCTGGAGGAGAGGAGAATGCTGGTTTGGGACAAGGCAAGTACTACGTCCTCTCATTGGTGGCACGACGGAATGAGTTCCAGCATTCAACATCTCATATTCAAGCAGCGTTGGCATTCGTGCTCAAGATTAACGTCTATGAGAAGCGGCCTAGAAGCCTGGGCGATGGCGAGTTTGGAGACAGCAATCATCGGACGCAGTACTTTCAGGCCTGATGCCGGAACATAGTTCATACACATACTTTCCTGGATCTTTCTGTGGGTTGCAATTCGCCACGACTCGCCACCGGTGCTGGTGAAGAACACCGAGACCTTGTCCATATCAGTACTGCGATCAAGACCTTTTCGTCGTGTCCTGGATCTGAAATGAAGGTACTTCAGAACGGCCTGCGCCGCCATTGGAGGGCAGGTTCTATTCGAAAGCTCTGAGACAGACCAGCTCGCCGAAGTGGTGACAGTCCGATTTAGTGGCTGGAATAGTGAGCCGAGGAGTATTGCACACCGTGATCTAGTTTTGGCATCAGCATGAGTAACGCCCTCTATGGTGTTACATGACTGCCGTGAGGAGCGTGGTTTCGCCGAGGAAGTGGAGTTTTGACCTTCCTTGCGGGTAGCTGACTTGTGCACCACAAGTAAGTTGGGAACAAATTCAATGCTTCAATAATTTGTTTGGCTCGCGGGCGAACCCCTTATACGGCGTGGAAAGGCGCATTCAATTCCCGGGCTTGGATTGTTCCCAATCATCCTACGAGATTCAGCTCCAGGCTTACCGTCATGTTCGGTAAGCCCATCATTACACGAACCGACAAAGACAGAATCCCATTACACCTCTAAGCAGCACATTTCGCCATTGCTCAACCAATGGACGCTTCTTTCCAACATGAAATGACGTATGAGCAATGCAACGTCCCACGGCCACGACGAGAAGAAGCCTGCTCTGCAGATCTTGTGCGGCATTTCCTTCTTCGAAACCTCCAGACCGTACCAAAGCGCCATTCTGGAGCAGGATGGGTCGACTACTTCTCTGAGAGCGGGATTGAGATCAGGACATTTCCACATTCCTCACAGCTAGGCTCGACGTAACCGAACACGAACCCACGATCACGCTGACCTTCGCCCTTGGGCATGCATTTGAATTTTCACGGAAGCATTCATAGCATGTCTTTGCGATCAAGAGCAGTGGTATTGTACTGAGCTGTCTCTGGTAATGGATTTGTTGGCTTTCACAAGTCTCATCGGAATAGTGTCTGATGTGTCCTCGATTCGCGATGAATGATTAAATACACATCATCAGAAGACGCGACATGCTCTTTGGCAGCCTTCCACGCTTGCGAAAAGCTGCTGCTGCTACCAATAGACAGGTGTTTGCGTTCGACTTGGCCGATCAGCTCCATCGTGGCAAGCCAGCTCCACCCTCGCAACAATTCATGATCTGAGAACGAAGCGAAGAAGGCATCTGGAGACCCTTTTGAGCATCTGGAAGCAATCTAGCATCAATGTCGATGGCGCTGATTCCTTCCCAACCGCGGCCCGTTGAATGTTGTCGTCCGATACTCTGGTGTGAGATTGATGTGCTCCTTCAATCACAATCACATTATTGCCAAAGGCGTACCCTGCAAAAAGGCTCCAAATGCTCTGGCATCGGCTTCCACTGCAAAGTTTCCTTCAAAATCACCGCCACCACCGTCCTCGACAGATCTGGCTGGTTGGTTCGGAAGCGAGTCCGTCTTTGGCCTTCCCAGATCCAATTTGGTTTCAAGATTCATCTTCGCCAGCAAACCCTACCATCGCCAGATCCTCCGTATACATTTTATACACCCGACGATGCATGATGCAGCCAAAACTTCCGCCGTCGCTGTCCTAGTGATCGTCGTGAGAGGTGGTGGATGAGCCACGTTGGTGTTGGTGTTTTGAACGCGAAGGTGACTGACGCTGGAAAGATCGGGAAGGGGATCGGGAGCGGGCAGCCATATGCATACCTGAACTTGAACTCGGATTGATTGCTGGCTGCTCCAGCCCAAATACCATACTCCAAACAGTCCTGCTGAGTTTTGGAACATGGAATGATCGTCTCCATCATCGGCACCTCGACTGGCAGCATGTTTCCGGCCATGCTCGACCGGAGACGAATTGTTCGTTTCGTCTTCTACTTCACTATGATCGTTGCCCTTACTGATCCATGCCGTTCTGAGTTCCGCGCCCCCGTCATCCCCTTCATCCTCACTATCATTATGGCGCGCATCATCAGTCCCACTCTCCGTCTGCGTTCCTGCAGGTCCATCTTGACGGAGGCTGGTGTGCTGATAGTACAATTGTCCTTCTCGACTGGCGGCGTAGCTATCTCAGCCTCGCGTCCGCGATCTTCGACGGGCGCACGGTTTTCATTGTATCGTAATGCTTCCCTTCGAGTGCCTTGCGCTCCATCATCACCATATCAAATCGCTCTTTGGCCCATTTGCATGCGAGGGTGCAGTCGGAAGGCCGCCATTCTTGGTTATAGTCCTCGCGCGGTTTCCATTCTGCCGGTCCCATTCGCGGTCCTGCAACAACTGCATGCCTTAGCTGAAGGTCAAGTGCTCGTTCTCGGCACCTCCAGGCCCCTCACTGCTCGAATGCCGCTTTTGCATTGACGACAGCTGTCGTATACCACTGAGGAAGTTGATGCTGTCGCATCCTGAGCGCCCGAGGAGAGCGAAGAGTTGCAGCGCGGAGAGATGTGTCCTGAGCCGTTCTCTTTCCCTGGTGACAAAAGATGACCCGGCTCTACAATTCCACACGGCAACAACTCCGATCTTTTGATCCTCGCTAGCAGTTCAAGGCTTAGTTCTCTGCTTCGGTAAGCCACCGAGGCCGGAAGCGTGGGTGTTGGGATGGCCTCATCGTCTTTACGACGGCCGGGCCAAGGCACTGATAACGCTTGAGGATCTGGTCTCACCAATGCCAGCGGTGTTCGCTTTACTCTACCTGCTGGTTGCAAAGCCGGCGACGCTTCTTGCTGAACGAACGATGGCACACATTCGAGCACCACAGTTCGCTGAAAAGCGATTAGTTCAAGGAATTGAAAGCCTAGCAGTGCGTTGACTGCGCTGGCACCGGCTCAGACTGTGACGGGCAGCTGGTGTGCTTACGATGTGACCAGCATAACCTCGATTTCATGGAGACTGATCACGATGTCGACTCCGACCATGTCCAGAACATGCTGCCGCGCCACATTACGAATATGTCGCCAGACACTTTTTGGAAGCCGCTTCGGGAGAAAACCGAGCGTCCTTACTGCTTGCGGGATCGAGACATCATTAAGGACCTCACAGAGGAATTCAAGTGCACTCCTGTCTCAAGGACCATTTCGAAAAGGGTACCGGTACAATGTGTCTGCTCTCTCCACTGCCCCAGCACGATGCAATCCACGTCTTTTCGGCGATTAGATGTGGCATTTCCTGACATCCATGAAGTAGCCACCTGTCGCCTCAAAGCCCTGGTCACAAAAGGTCCGGCCTACAAGTGGGATCAGCGCTTCAGGAAAGAGATCGTATTCTATAGAGAAAGAAATTTCACGGAATGGGTACGCAACGACAAAGCCTCCGCCGCCTCGGGATGGTACCGCATCTCCAGGCTTGGGATACAAGCCTATGCTTGAGCACTGAGAAGTTCCCGCACTGGGCTACAGGCGGTGGCTCACCCACTAAGCACTCAGCGGACCAATTTGGCACATTGGTAGACCCGAAGTCCGAAGACTTTTGTAAATTGATCCTCATCAAGGTTGATGTGCTCAAGAAGGTACTCGAAGCTCAACAGGCAAATGCAGGCAAGAAGAGGAAGTCAAATCCCGATGGGCTTGAAACGGAAAACGCTTTGTCCAAAACACTTATGAATTACAAGTTTTGTGGACCTGCTCTTCGCTACTGTTGGGCTTTGCGGCTGCAACTTTCCTCCTTCGACGCTCCCGTTGTCCGCATCTCTTCTTCCCTCGCGGAGCTGTCAGGGCCTTTCCAGTACATCGATGTGCAACGCGTACCATGGAAGGTGCCAACAAGCAGCAAATTTGATGTGCTGGAGCTTCGCTTGAGCTCTCTCAATTAACTGCATCAAAGCGTGACATCCTTCGCGATAAGGACAGAGCCTCTACCGCTATACCGAGTGGACTGATCACGGATGCAATGGACGAAAACACAGCTGGGGCCAATGAAGCCACTGATGCTGCCCACTTCGCTTGGTCAAATAAGTTCCAGCCCTCCAAACTCTGGCCGTCCGAAGAAGGATAAGGAAGACAAGTCGAAGGGCAACAAAAAGTGCAAACATCACCCCAAAGTCGACAAGTCTTACGACTGATGAATGCCGCAAGAATCTAAAGAGCCAAACCGACAAAGATAGGTCTAAAGACTCACCCTAGCAGTAACAAGGTAGAGACCAAGTTGGGGACTCATACCTTAGCTTGAACAACACTACCAACGACAATGCCAACAATGCTGACTCAGACCGCGAGGATGAGAGCACACAATACGTCTCAGCCCAACACATGGTGCTGTGTCCGTTCGGGCATCGTAACTTTGTGGCAACGACTACAGGCATCGATTCATTGTGCCAACCAACCTTCATCGTTCTCAAGACCACGACGACACGATCATTGGCCTAGGCACAATAACACACATGAAAAAGGACGCCAAGCGCATTATCAAGAGCTCTCCATGTTCCTTGGGAGTGTAAACTGGCAAGGGTGGTGTTGGTAGCTGAGTCATACGCCATTATCAGCGTGAAACATTTATCAGTGATTTCGGTAAGAAAGTCTATAGCAGATTCGTCACAAAGCGACTATTGCACATCTACGTGAAGACTCACGTGGATGTAGTATTAGTTGGCATCAAAGGTAAAGGTTATTACACCCTCTTCACCGGCACAATATCACTGTACCGACAAATGTCTGCTGACCCACGCAAGAATGCGGCTGCTCAGCACATGAAAATTCACAGGCAACATGTCTTTGCACAAACACAGATACGCATATCAATCTTTGCAGCTCCAACGAGATCTTTCTGCGCACGCCAAACCTCATTACACCTACTCCAATCCCTCCAACTCGAGGGAGTGTTGTAGTACCAAAGTCACAGCCAGTCGTGCCCGACCCAAAGTCGGGACCACCCAAACAGCCGGCGGCTGAGCAGCGAGCGTCTAAGCAATAGCCTCAACGACGTGGCATTCAGTCAAGGCCGAACGCGACGACTGCCTGGTGAATCATCGAGAATCCTGTCCGCAGGCAAAGAAAATGCCACTGTCAGTCGCATGACTCCTTCAGCCCTCACGAAAAGTGCCAAGATTGTAGCTCCACAGCCTTACGTGGAAGATGGTGAAGAAAATCCTTCTGCAGACTTGACACAAAACTTTCTCGACGCCGCAGAACATAGTGAACTCAGTGATTTGTTACCAGAAGTTCAACCAACGCCGCTTAACCCTGTTGTGGAGGAAAATGAAGAACAAGAATCATCAACACCTCCTAGATGGCTACGGTCAACACGACAAGAACCATCATACTCGCCGAGGGAATCTCAACACCGGTCAACTTATCGGCCTTCGCAGTGGTCAGGACCAATTACGCCGTTACTATCGAACGTCCCAAATCCACTCAATCCAGGTCCAAATCTGCGCCGACAATATGATGGATTTGACCCAATTTCACTCTTACAAGTTGATCGCTCTCCACCCTCTCCGTCTGATTCAGCCTCGCTATCGACCGAAGCAGGGCCACTACAATCAGCTCCGACGTAGAATCGCTCATCTACACCGTCAACGCTATCACAACAAACTTGGTTCGAGTGCTGGCTTGTGGGGAGTCTGAGCTTTGCGCGTGCATGTGCATGCTTGGCGCGGAGACGAAATCCGGACGTCACCTTATAGCATGAAGGCTGACCTTGCGTAGCTTTGACTCTGTCTTGGGCAGCCACCATGACACTAAAGGACATGCCACATGCTACGATCAATGCCTCTGTAGCCTCTGTTCAACAATCAGAGGTTCAAAACACCCGCATACCGAAGAGCGCCAAAGAGGCGAAGTACAGCCCGGAATGGCCTCAAGAGTAGGAGGCTTTGCAGGCTGAGGAGAGGGCCCTCGATGACAGCAAGACCTGGCTGCCTATCAACAAGGCAGACCTTACACCGGACATCAGCATCATCAGGACCTTGACGAAGCTGCTTAGCCAATATCAGAAGATGAGTCGAACTGAGACGAGGAGCATCTCTTCTGCTTTCAAGATGTTGAGCCATTGTGGACCAGCAGCACTTTTGGACGCCTCCTGCCCAATAGGTTTTGTAGGCCATTGCAGGACAATTCTGGGGCTTTCTCCAACAACGCCGAGTGAGCAGAGCAGAGCAGCCAACTTCTGCCAGTGGAGCTCCTCAGCCGACGTTAGTGCCTCAAAGACGGACAGACATATCTTCTCGGTATTCGGATGTCCGCTCGCTGATATCTTGTCGATGAATCTTGGATCGATCCACATTCCTACTCTGTACGCCAGACACCTGTCATGATCTTGCTCTCAATCAAGGATGGAGATAGCATCGTTTGTGGCATCTAGCTCGTATCTATGCAACGCTATCCATGGGCTCGATGTGGCTGGCGACAATCCAAGTGTCTGATCTGCAGTAACATGAGAGGCCCGCAATCCAGCACACAATTCATCTTTCTTGCGCCGGGTGTTGATGTTGATGCGGAGAAGAGAAGAACAGACTCGGACGCGGAGCTGGCTCCGTGCTGACTCACCCCGCTCCCTCGACATTGGATGCGCCATGCGCCGCGACTCACACTCACACTATCCCATCTCATCTCATCTCATCTCATCTCCTACTCAGCTTGGCACTACAGTTGATCCTGCCCGCACTTCCACATCTCCCACCATCGAACCATGACACAGCCATGCGATGCGACAATGCGATGCGGTGCGGTGCGGTGCGGTGCGGTGCAAGCACATTCAGAACGGCATGGCCTGAGACAAACCAGCGTGTCATTGTGGTCGCACAGCATCCGCATTAGCATCCGCCGACACGGACATGGCCATGGCAGAATCTGCGCAACCCACGCACGCCGTCCTCGTGGAAGCCCACGCTGCCCTACCGAGCGAAGCGCTGATTGAGAAGCGAGAACCACGTCTCCGGCATGGCAATTTCAATGGCAATGGCAGGACTTGAGCCGCCCGAGTACCCAGAATGCGACGATCTCACCATGAGCAGCTATACCTGCTACTCCTCTGCCGCCTCCGACGACTACTCTCCCGAAGCCGACGAGAAGCGCCGCATCCGACAAGAGCTCGACTGTGCGGCCCTTGCTGAAATAGCCTACGAGAAGAAGCAACGTCAGAGAGAGCTTCTCGATGTCCTGGATCAATGGTTGCATACAGTCGCTCATGGCACAACGTCCTCAGCGAAGCAGAATCAAGCAAATAGAGGTGCACAAGCATACCAGGACGGCGGAGTCGAAGTGCTGGAAGAATGGTACTACGACGACGACTGCTACGATCCCGAATCCTTCTGCCATCCACTGCAGGACGCCCGTCGAGTGCCTCCCAAAGCAGGCCATGCGGCTCCAAAACTCCTGCTCCCCGTGCCGCCAGTGGAGAGGCGAGCGCAATCCTGCCGCAAGCCAGTTGCAGGCCCTTCGTGGAGAGCGATTTGGGACGAGAAAGAGAAAGAGCGAGCAGAATCTCACATCGAGCCGATTGCAGAGTCTCGGGAGGAAGTGCATGAGGGAAAGACAGCAACCGAGTGTGAGCAATGCTTTGTCGTTCCCATCTGCTCAGTACACGGCAAGGGGAAAGGAGTACGTTCAGGGAGTCTCATCACGAGCGATGCTGTGAGTGCAAAGCAGGCACAGCACCACCCACATCCTGCTCGTGATATCGGGTTATGCAAAAAAGACATGGCAAGAAAGCGACGGATTTGCAGCTCCTCGTAGAACTAACAACAAGCAGCGCAATCGCGATGAAGCAATTGACGAGGACCCCAACCACCCGCTCGACAATCGACAAATCTGGCTGGCTACGTGTATCACCGCCAAGAACGCTCTCTCTCTCACATACACATTGATAACTCGACAGTACATACTTCTCCACGCTCGCTCCCTTCCTTGGCGAGAACAACACGACTCCGTCGACTCTCTGCCATCGCCATCGCCGCCAGTCACTCACTCACTCGCTTGATGGACGCCCAACAAACGATCTATCATCGTCATCGAGCAACCCCCTGCGTTCTTCAACACAATTTTGACCTGCCTGGTCTCCTCTACAGCCCACAACGCCTACCTGCCTTCACACGCTCCAGCAGCAAGAAATGCTTGGCCTTGCCTCTCCAGGCTCCTCCGACTACGCTGCTTGGTTGGTTGGATGCTTGTACTAGGCAGTGCAGTATCGTATCCTTGGAGGTTCAGGTGCAGGGCAGGCGATGGAAGAAAGAACAGGCCCAGACATGCATGCATGTATCTTGTATAGGTAGTGACCCTTCCCAGGTCAGATCAAATGAGAAAAGAAGCAACTTCTGTGCGGAGTATGCGTGTATGAATCAGCCAGCCTTCTCGGGATTTTTTCCAACTTGATTGCTCAACGGCCGAAACTGATTTCCGTTCGTTCGTTCGTGTGAAGCATACTGTATGCGTCTAGGCATAAGATTCGGAATCGCTATGTAGTAGCTCTATTATGCAGTTGGACAATTCTCTTCTTCGCCTGAAATTGCTACCTCCCAAGCCCCAGTCACAATCCTTAGCAAACTCCCGACGCACAGCAACCGCTCTCTCAAGATCCCGCTCCCACTGCTGCTGCTGCTGCTGCTCGTCACCTTCTCCTCTACCTGCCTCCAGTTTCATCTTCGTCTTCATCATATCTTCAGCAACACACTCTCCCCCAGTCTCAGTCTCAGCTTCATTATCCCCATCATCATCATCATCATCATCATCATCATCATCATCATCATCATCATCATCATCATCATCATCATCATCATCATCATTATCCCCGTTCTTCAAATCCTCCTCCTCCCACTCCCCCCCCCCAACCTCTTTGATCATCATCCCACAATTCACGAGAAGGAAATCCCCCGCCCCATCGAAAGCTTTCATCGCGGACGAACGTTCGAAGCCGGAATGCATTTCGTATTAGCGCCAGAGGGTTTCGGTTACCACTATGTCTTTTTTGGGATTTTGAGGGCTTGGGTTCGGGCTTCGAGGTGGGTTTTTGCGAGGAGGGTTGGGGGTTTGGATTTGAGGGAGGGGTTGGGAGGTGGTGGTGGTGGTGGAAGAGGTTTTATAGGAAGGAGGAGGGATTGGGCCTGGAGGTGGAGTGGTCTGAGATTTTGAGTCGGTATTGCTGGCATCGTGGTTGATCGGCGTGGATGAAGATTCTTGATCTTGTTTGTGTCTTCTTGAGAGAGTGCGGGACGTCGTCGCTTCCGGGGTGGTAATGATGAGAGCGTCAACATGGCGGAGGCCGAATCGAATGCTTGTGTTTGTAGTTCTCTCTACGACGTGGGATCAGTGGCTTCGAAGCTATCGGGCGTGGTGTACGCATCGGTGCTGTTGCATTCATGGTATGCTGTTCTTGTACTTTGTCGTCTGTAAGGTGTTGTCGGAGCAGTTCGCGGGGCTGTCTAGAGTGCGTGTGTTGGGAAGAAGTGCTGAAGGAGGGAGGGACGTCTGAAGGTAGCCACACCAATCGTCATAAGCGCGTTCTTGCTTGTTTCCACCTCACCGTCGCGACTCATCGAACCCTCATCACTCCCGGCTGGCACTGTGTCTTCCGTGTCTTGTGCCTTACATATCTCTGTATCTATATCCAAAGTCGAAGTAAGGGCTGGGGATATCCAGCATCTGGGCTGAGATCCTCGACACCACGAACTTCACTCATGACTTCCAATCATATGCAGGGTCTACGTGGTTGAGTGCCCGTGACAGCGACTTCGAATCCAACTCCATTTGGCTTCCGAGACAAGTACGACCTCCTATGACTCCAAAAACACAGAGACATCCATAACTTGCGATGGCCAAAGCCTCTGGAACATTGGACACGAGTGGTGAAGGCGTTGGAAGTGATGCGTTTCTGGCCTTCCTACAATAATGGATTTGGGATGTACTGCTCTTCCTTTCGATTAAACCCCCATTAATGCTGTCTCCATGGACGATCTTATGAGTACGGGTACGGATGCCGTCGCTGCCCTTCAGCAATTCAATGCCACGCATACCAGTATCTCGCCATCGGTATTCGGAGACCGGATGAAAGTCTCTGAAAAGTCTTGCGCCTCACGATTCATGCCTGACATCGGATGATCCACAAGTCGAGGGAATCTCTAGATCACTGGGGAAGAGTTGCAATTCCCATTGCCTGATACACCTCGCCATCGGTATTTGGAGATTTGATGATCGTTGAGGAGGTCTCCGAAGAACATTGAATACTGCGCTTTGCATTCATGTCTAGCATCGGATGATCCACAAGTCGAGGGAATCTCTGGATTACTGAAACTGGAGAAGTGTTGCAATAGCTGCAGGAGTCATTCCATTGCCTGATACACCTCGCCATCAGGATTCGGAGATTTCATGATCCTTGAAGAGGTCTCCGAAGAATGCTGCGCTTTGTATTCGATAGCTGAGAATGGACGGATGCTTCTATCGTCGAATGAATGTTCCAAATCTCGGAGGAGTTGCCAGCTCGTCCGAGCCATCTTCGTATCTCGCCATCGGCAGTGGAAGATTCGATGATCGTTGAAGAGGTCTCCGAACATTGAATGCTGCGCTTTGCATTCGATAGCTGAGAATGGATGCCTCTATCGTCGGATGAATGTTCCAAATGTCGGAGGAGTTTCTGGCTCGTTCGAGGCATCGGTAGTAGAAGAGCAGACATATGCAGCCGGGGAAGAAAAGAAACAAGCGTGGTGAACTTCGAGAACGAGATGGATTGGGGCCCTCACACCTGCTCCTACCTTTGCTGCATGTAAATAAACTACGCCGCTCATTGAGTGGGCTCGAGGCGAGGGCTGTCATGCCAACGATGTCACTCACTAGGTAGGCTCGACGTGAGAGCTGTCAGGGCATGACAGAATGGTAAGGCAGGTCCTACTCCATAAACCGAGGCATTTGGGCTGGCAAGGCATCCTCATGAATGTGCAATCCAGGCCTGCGGTCGCAAGAAAGCACACAGGTCCTCATCAGTTTGATTCCATGCCCTCCAAATCAATTCCAGTCGGAGGAGCATGTAGGAAGAAGGATTGATGCAAACATCGTTTTGAGAATCGCCTGCTTGGGTCCGGCGGCGAAAGTAGAGAATTCATAGTGGTAGAAGTCCCGATCAATACAAATCCAGCTTGCTCTGGTGCGTGGCTCGTCCGGATATGCAGGCAGAAATGGACAGGAGTATACATACAGAGGGAGCAAAGCTAGTCGTAGGTGTTGGATGGAGTTCGCTCCGATCGTATACAGATTTCGGCTGTCGGTCGATGTGCGCTCACCGCCTGAAGGCTGAAGTCGAGACTCCAGAGCTGGCTGATTGCAGCTCCAAGTTGATGGGTTGATAGGCCAGCGGATGTCCCGGCCGCCTCCGCAGCTTTGGCTCAGCGCTGGCCTCTTGCAGTTGCAGATGCGACCCCCCAACGCGACACAACACTCATAACTATCCCTCGCGCGCGCCCATCCAGCATGCACCATGTCTCCCATCTTGCGCTCGTCGAAGCGGAAAAGGTCGAGCACCACTGAAGACGACGAACCCCTACCTAACGACCCCACGAAGCGACGCGCCGTCCCCCGCCCACCACCGACGAGAGGAGGCTTGGAGCATACAGCGCAGCGCCGCGCCCTCACACCCCACAGCCTTGAGGAGGTCCCTCGAGACTGCTTGGAAGACCGAGTTGATCGTTGGAGAGGGCGGGACACTGCGAGACTTCCCATCATGTCTTCCTCTACCAGCAGAAGCAGAAGCCGCAAGAGATCTCGTCCTGGCACCTCTACTGTTCCGACTGTTTCATCCCAGCCAACGTCGGCGCTATCGGAAAAGGCATCTACATACGACGATGGCACTCTCAACGTCCTTCGGGACTGCTGCATCTATGGCCCACCGTTCGCAACGGGCGTAGAACCTTCCAACAAAGCGGAGCTCCTTGCCGGACTGCAACGTAGACGCTCTTCCTTGGATGCTTCCGCCTATCCGGACAGCAATTTCAAGCGCTTCCTCAAAGCGAACTACGAAGCACTCAACGAGAGCCAGGTCATGCTCGAGGTTGTTTACCCATACTTCACCACCTACTTCAAGGACCATCCGAAATCAGCAAACCTGGCCTTCACAAACCTAGAGCCTATCTTTCAGCCGCCTCCGAAGATTTCACCGCCCCAACCAGATCACAGCTTCGGTACCGCCGAGGAAGACATACATCTTGCAGTGCGCAACAAGCTCGACAAGTTCATTGTGTGTTCGAGAAAGCCTCATGCGCCCGCTGCCGTCAACGATATGATGCAGGTGAAAGGGCGAGAGGGCAAGGCAAGAGTGCTGGATACACAGATCACCAAAGACGGTGCGATTGGAGAGCGAGCTATGTATGAGTTGCACGGATTTGCTCGAGGATCTCCATGTCCGGCCGACGGAGTAGCGCATACCTTTTTGCAGTCCTACCATGATGGTGTGATGAAGTTCTTTGTGGCATTCAGGAAGGCCAGCAGTGTCAGGAGGGAGCCAGACAAGATTTACATCACCGAGATTGCGGGTGAATACCTGTGTGGCTCTCCCGAGCACCTCCGGAAGGGCCTCACGATGTATCGGAACTTTGTGGATATGGCAACAGAAGCTCGAAGCAAGGCGGTGGAGGCAGCCAATGCTGTGGCCCTCGCGAGTGAGGATGAGGGAGAGGGAGAAGGAGAGGAAAATGAGGAATTTCACGATGCGCCGGCTGCAGCGTGAATGGTGATTGATGGAAAGCTGCTGGCAGCGTACGAAGTCACGACCGACATGACCAGTAATGCATAGCGTGATGAGCAACATTCTTGCATCTTCTCTTCTCACACACCTCCAAGGCCACCTCCAACTTCCGTTGCTTCTCCCCTCGTCCGCGTCTTTGCAGCAGCTCGGCAGTGCCGCCGCCTCCCGCCTCCACATCCCGCCCTACTCGTACGTGATTCTTGGTTTGCTTTGGCCGTTTCTTCTCCGACCTGGCATTATTCTACGAGGTGCGCTGGGGCACGAGCGGTATAGGCATAGGCATTCCCGCTCATCACATCACAGACGACAACACTTTCGCGCACCACCGCACACGACGAGAGACCCTTTCCAGATCTGCAACAGCATCTACAACTGCATCTTTCTCGACGCCTCGACCGAGCAACCTCTTCCGCAAGCACCACATCGACCGCCCAGGCCTGCAATAATACACGAGGCTGCCACCTGGGACTCGTGCGATGTACATGGCCTCTTCCACCACGTCGAGAAGACCTTGAAAGAATCACTCGGCATCACTTGGGCAGGCAGGCAAGAGCTCTTCGACGAGATTGGAACACGGGGAGGCATTGTAGGAGCGCGACTGTGAAGATGGCTAGCGAAGCGACGACGAGGTCACGAGGAAGGGTCTGAATACAACATGCCAATGCCCAAGTGGGATAAAGATCTTGCACAACGCTGAATCTGGGTAACGACATCGCATACTGCGAAGTCGCGGCGCTCCGCCGACTTGACGATCGCGACGACTCTTGGGAAAATGTACAGCTCGCAATCATCGATAGCACAAAAAGCATTTTGGAGCCACATCTGGGCTGGACTCTAGAGGATTCACAACACGGACGCACACGTATTGGACAACGGAAATGTCGGCGGCGAAGAGCAGGACGATGCCGATAGGCGCGCGCCGCAAAGGATACAGAGCGAGCGAGCCCGAGCAGAAAGTCGAAGAGCTAGGCTCCCCTCTGCGGAATGAGCTGAACTGACTGAATGAGCAGATGGCCGACATCTTCTCCGTGAACCAAGCAGACCACTTCGTCTTCACGACTACTCCAATGGGATGCTTGCGGGGCGTCGAGCATCCGGTCGTACATCGCGGACTGGGAAGAACACAGCATCGCGGCATGCAACAAATATGCTGGCCGCATAGCAACGCAACCAAGCTGGAGAAATCGAGAAATCGCGCCTCCTCGACTGTGCTCATATGCGCATTTCCTGCCTGAAAGACCCATGCCAGGAGCGGCTTCTTCGTGAGAGCCTCGGAGCACAAGTGGCCAGAGGCGTTTCTTCATGGCAAGCCAGTTCGACGCGCCGACATGGCATCAAAGGATTCTCTTCTCTGGGAATGCTCTTGTTCTGGCTGATGGAAGAGAGCTCGAGGCTGACGTGGTCGTGCTCACGACCGGACTTGATAATATGAGAACGACTGTGCGCAAGACGCTTGGCGATAAGGTAGCTAATCGCTGCAAGGACGTATAGAACCTGGATGCTGAAGGCGATGTCAATGCGGTAAGTTGTGCTCTAGCATTTCCATATGCTGGATCAGAAGTGCTGGCTCTCGCACCAGATGTGGCGTTCCTCCGGGCATCCGAGGTTGTGGTTCATAGGAGGAAGTCTTGCCTTGTTTCGGATCTCTTCTCGACATACAAAGCTGAACGGTGCCATTGAACACCTTGCCTATGCATTCATCGTATCGAATACAGAGTGGGCGTAACCAGCCACCGACAAAGAGCACATGTATGATAATGCCGGCCTTAGCATAGCGACGACAAAGAGCAGGCCTACCACCTTGTCGCAGCGCATTCAGGACTGGCGACCCTAGGCAGCAACGAAAAGCAGGATGTCGAGGAATCTGTTTCAGGAAGACGCCGCCCATAAGCACAGCGAGGCCGCTGGGATCGTTGCAAGAGGCCTTCATCGGCTTGCCCATCGGTTCATCAGCAATTCCGCTAGTGACCGGAGGTCTGCCCCGCCATAGCTGGAAGAAGGAAGCACAAATCTAATGTCGTAAGTCTACTACGTTCACCCAACAGCTACAACATCTGACCTTACCCAAAGAAACACTCACAGATCCTCGACGACCACACGACTTATAGCGGTACTCAGACAAAGGAAGCTATGATCGCCACCAGCTCTGTTCAGTAGCCAGCTTAGGACTGAAGCAAACGGAAACGCCGCCATTCTGGATTGGTTACACCGTTGCTTAGCTCCGCTAGATCGCAATTCGTTACGATGTTAATAATTCCTTGCTTAGCGAATGTCGCGACAGACTCAGGCCTAGGACCGGAGGTGGTAATCCGGCCAAGAATCTCAAGCCGCTCAGGCAGGAGGTGGAAGCTCAGCTAGACGTTGATTATGCAAGAAGCGGTATCCTCCCGGAACGGTTCTACGTAAGGGCTTGAAATGCCGCTTAATCGCCGTAGACAATGCCAACGAGGAAGTGTGTTTCAAGCACAGATTCGTGATACTAGGTCCTCGATCGCCGGCTTGCGTGATAATCTCTTCACGATTTAGAAATGTGTCTAGTGTTACGAGATATAGTATGCCAAGGAAGGAGTATAGGCAGATTGCTTCTCTATAGACATGTAGTCTGCGGCACAATTCTCCCACATTACCCTTTTGAAGTGGGAGAAGGTTATCGAATCTGCCTATTTGCGATCGTCTTTTGAACCTTCGGACTTGCAGAGACCCCAACGCGACACAGTGGTCACTTCGTGGCTTGTCGCACATGCGAACGACATTATTGATGCTCATCTCTAACCTCTGGCCTGCTAGCATGTGATACGCGATTGAAACCCTCCGCATGAGATCATGACCTACATGCCAGAGGAGTGAGGTATTGCATCGTTTGACTTGCAAGCATGGCGATGTCTCTACAGCCCTTCGTAGATAATGGCGATTTTGACTAGTATGCTAACACTGTGGTTCTAGGCGATGGCACGATACCGTAGTCTGGCCTATCTCCGTCCACTTTTCTAGTGCACCGAACATCCCAGTCAGCATCCGCTGTTTTATGAGACCTGTGATATTTTGGCTTTACGGTCCATGGCATCGCCGTCTCCACCGTAGCTTCTCCGGGGCAATAGGAATATGCTGCCTTGGTTGGCCGCATAGCAGCGCCAGTCACCACCTCTTTCAAAGTGTACGCTCTAATCCGCGGCCATACACCCCGCTACCTTCACACCCTCTAATGCGCTTGCTTCGCATTTGCTTCGTTGAACAGGCTGCTAAGACGATGTGTTTGCATTTGAAGCCATCCACTGTTGTTGTGCCTTGCTTTATGTGCTCAAGTACTTCGTTTAACATCTTTAGCATATCTACGAGTAGAACTCTCTTTACAAGCTGTAGAGTTCGAGTGCATTCCATCGCTACTAGGTATGCCATCGGCGCTACCGCGGTCTATGATGTTCGCGTAGTCTCTGACCAGCTTCAGTGGGATCGGAGTTGCGCTGTGGCCGATACAACTTTGACGAGTAGTGTGGATAGCGTCGGCATGCGAGAAAAGTTGGCGATGGTGATTGCAATGCTTGCAAGTGGATGGCGGTATTGCATGCTGGATGTAAGCCGCGTATTCGGCGTTCCTTTCGTTCGCTTCGAAGGAGCCCCGGAGCTGAGTCAGCAGCCTCAACTCTCAGATCAACATTCGAGGCACGACTCTTCTTCCTGCAACCATCAATTCAAGACCTGCGCAGCCTACAGTATAGACCGCCGGACGATGCGACGACTCGAAAATCCGCTGCCGCTGCCACTGCCACGTACAACATCAAAGAACACATGCACCTCGCGTCAAGTTTGTAATGGTCCATCAAAGTTGCTTGAAATTGGCGCTTCAAATTTGCAAGCCGATCTCCTCTGCTACTTTCCGCTGTAGCTGAATGAAAGGGACACTATCTACAAGATGCCAGCAGGAACAGACACTTCTTTCGGCATCCCCATCGTCTTCAAATTTCCAATAAAACCCCCCAACGCCTTCAATTCGCTTCACCTCATGAATACTGCTTTTGGCTCCCAACCTCAGCTTGATGAAGCCTTGTCGTGGAAACATGGTACTCATCAGCATATTCCCGCCAATTCCACGCCATCTTCATCCCACTATACTGTAGTGGAGCTTGACGATGATGAGCAAGCCTTTAGCATTCTCATCCAGTGCAACCATGTCTATGCCCGAGACCCAAGCAATCTAGGGAGCCAGGTGGCCAAGAACAGCAGCACGCCCAGGTATCACAACTCGCTCGACGACCCGCCGGCTCCGTCTTCCACCCACGGCACGATCGAGCTGAGCAACAGGCCCCTGCGCAACCCATCTCTCGCAACCCATCTCTCGCCTGCTGCCAGCTTGGTGTGTCTTACCGAGAATGGTGATCTTGTCTATCCCGATCTTGACCTTATCGAAGGCAATGCGCAGCTTGGCCCATAGCAGGCGAGGAAGAAGGTGGCTGTGTCCAAGTAGCGTGAGCTGCCGCCAAGAAGGTGGTTTTTGGGGAAAGCCTAATGCTCTTTCCAAGCGGCGTAAGCTGGCGCCAAGTCGTCGATGTAGAATTTCATGTGCGGTAGCTCGTCCGGTTCTTCATCATTGTACATCAGCGAAGCTTCCGGGTTCGGGGCAGGAATATAACCAAAGGTGGTGTGTCCGAGCTCATTTATAGTGAACGGTGATGACCTGGCTCATTGCGATGTGGGATTTGGCTAGAAATGTTCAAGACCAGGCACTTATAATGCCAGGACGTACGTACCTGTCTGCCGGGTCAATGAGAACGCCTTGTTGCGAGGATTTCCAAGGGACTCGTGGCAGTCTTGCAATGTTTGCATTATGGTGCCTGGCGGCGGTTCGGACACTCGCATGCTATCAGAAGACTTTACCATTGACTTTAATGCGGCCTTCGTACATCCCAGCCTGTAGCCCTTCCGTTGTATGCTTTCGTAGGAACTTTTCTCCGTCGCGTGCCATTTTCTTTGGCATTGCTCAATCAACTAGCGTGCCTTCCTCTTCCCGTATCCGGTATATAGCTAGGTTAGGAGGCTCGCCGAGATTATACAACCCTGTTAATCTAAGATCTCGGTAGGACTACAAGGTTTGCAAGACATCGAGTCGATCTTTGCTATTATTCCTTTAGTCTAACTTTAGTAGCGGTAGCAGTCCGCCTCGTTCTCGGGTATACAAATAGGGACCTTTAGAAGAGGCTAATTTGTAGAGGCCTATCGAGGTCGGGCAATTAAGTAGATACGAAGGTTGTTTCCGGATCCTTCGAGGCCTAGTTTAAATAGGGGTTGAATTCCAATTTATAGCCTATAGACTATGCTTTTAAATAGGCCTATTTAAAAGTATATAAGACGCTATATTCACGATTAGTAGGGGTTATAATCCTGCCTTAACTAGAAGCAGTTAGGTAGTAGAAGCCCTTACTTATATAGCTTAAACCCTGCTCGGCTTAGCTATTAAACTGTATTCTCTCTTAGTACCGCCGAATAAGCTATACTATTTAAACGGCGACGGCGAGGTAGAAAGTAGCTATTAGGTCGCTAAGATAGTACGAGAGGGCTCTACTTTATATATATAAAGGTCTAGGTATATAGCCGTTAGTATAATTAGAGGGTTAGCCTATAATAGGAGGCTACTAAATAGAGCCTATATTCGTAGTTTAATTGCAGCATATAGTCTATAGGATAAGAGGCATATACGGAAGCAAGAGAGGTCCTAAATTGTTAGCTAAATAGTATACTTTCTCGACTATAGCTACTTTAGCTACCCTATCTAGTCCCTCTCGAATTATCGACCTAGGCTCCGGCTCTTCCGCTCTAGTATTTGCTACTCTAATCTACCCTCTATAAGTACTACTAATACCTATTCGAGTACCTCTTTAAGGTCTACCTTGTTACGATATAATACTATTATATATACGATAGTAGGTAGCGGTTACTATCGACCGCTACGGTCGCTATTGCTACTAATAGTAGGACTATTATATAGATAGCTTGCCTCGCGGTACCTTAGAGAATATATTAACTTTTGTACCGTATAACCGTTACGATACCTTCGTACTATAACCGTATACCTAGCAACTTAGTAGCTTCGCTTAACACTTAGTTAGCTTCTATACTAACTACTAGTCCTCTATCCGAATCGACCCCGGTCGTTATAGCTACGACGAGAATCGACGCGATTAGCTACGGGTCCTACCGATCTTCCGCCGATTACTACGATTTAACTCCTACCTATTACGACGGTACCTATTCGATTTACTACCCTTCTATACTATACCCTACCGACGCGCGAGCGCCTTATCGGCGATCCTATTAGTACCCCGAGGAGATAGTAGTAGTAGTTTCTACCTTTAGTAGCAATTGCCTACTATACCTAGGTCTAGGGGTAGCCGCTTTCCCTAAGAGGACCTGCCTAATAAGCTACGCTCCTCCGCCTTTAGTCGGTTCTCCGTTATTGTCCTCTATTTAGAGACTATCTCGCCTCTACCCTCTTACTAATAGTTTACCCGCTTGCCGTAGCTCCTTCGGACTCGCTTCTAACTCCGGTAGAAGCCTCGAAATTAGCTAAGCTAGCAGTTTAACCGCTGCCCTAGTACTACAATCTCGGATTGCTAGATATAGAGCCCTATATCCTACGTATCTATTCCTATATTTAGAACTACGTCGATTATAGCGAGAACTTCGCGACCTAGCTTAGGGCAAAGTACGGCCGAATCGACTTGCTTACCTTATACGTTCTATATTATTACCCGCTTATAGGAAATCCGCCGCCTCTATAGGCTAAAATCGAGGAACTCTACCTAGACGCCCTTAACGGTTACAACTTCCTAGGATAGTAGGTAGTAGATAAAGGAATCCTAACTAAATCGGTTAAGGAGCTTAAAGCCGCGCTCCTAACGGTACGCGATTTACGCTATTACCGTTAATTCTACCCGGAGATCTATCTACTACCTATAATAGAGTAGCGCCTACTAGCCCGACCGCCTTAAGTCCTACCGCGGCCTACGGTTTCGCCTATTACTACGGTAGAAACAACCGTACCGCCGGAATAGCGTCCCGGTTCGCCTAATAGCTCGCTTAAATCGGTTTTCTTACGGAGGCTACTTAAGCTACGATACCCGGCGGACGAGAATCCTTAGAAGCTAAGAGGGCCTCTACCTAAGACTTCCCCTAAGGAACCGTTAACCGGGCCTTCCGATCTATCGACGTCGCTATTCTAGGATATCGGTCGCGGCTAATTGCCTCTAATAAATAACGGCCTCGCCGACCCGTAGGCTAACGAGCCGCATAGTCGTTTCTAATATTATACCCTAGTAGATGCCTTATAGATAACCGAGGAGATCGATAGGGCGAATATCGCCGTATAATAGAACTATTAGCGTCGTAATTATCTTCGAGAATTAGCTAGACGGAGAGGAGTCTATTTTAACGAAGTCGTATTAGAATTTCTAATAGAATAGGCGATTTTACCGCTATCGGCTACGCGTAAGCTAAAGTCCGCCCTAGCCGAACCTAGGTTAATACGATTACTAGTAGAGGGTAGACGTATATATAAATGCCTATAGGTATAGCCGCTTGCGTCGGGGCAGGTTTGCGCTAGGCGATCCGCCTAGTAATCCGCCTAGTAATCCTCCTAGTAATCTACCCGGTAATCCTCCTAACGATCCCCTACTACTACTACCTAGTAACTTTAATCTAGGTGTTTCCTCTCGTAAGCCGACGTAGGGTTAGCCTTTGCCCTTTCCGCTATTAGACTTATAGGGTCTACTACGGGAAGGTAAGAAGCAGCGCTAGAAGTACCGTCGGTATAGGGATAACCCGAGTAAGGATAGATCCTTATTAGATAGTAAGGATTCGGACGACTCCGATTAATCCTCGTTAGATAACGATAGTTCTTCGGATGCTAGTTATTATAGATACGCCCGCTATCGTAGATACTATTAGTATTATCGGGACTACGTCGCGGAATTGCTAGTTTCTAAAGCGAGTTATATCTAGAGGCACTACGCCCGCCCCTAGTAGCTACGCTTCGATCTAGCGTATCTTAGGTTCTTCGATCCTCTACTTAGCGTTACGGATTACGGCGAGGGAGACTACGCTTTAGTCGGGAATAAGATAATATACCGTTCCGTATATGCTTTTATTAAAGCGGCTAAGAATTATACTTATATCGTAGGGCGAGAGACGGTTCGTTTTAATCTCTTTCTTTACTTTCGAGGGGTAGCGCTTAGTTAGTATTATAGTTACCTTTCTAGCCGTAACCGAGTAAAGCTCCGCGGCGGATACGGTCTAAAACGCTAGGAACGTTGTCTTAGCAAGAAATAGAAGGTCCCTCCGATAAAGGCGATAGATCTCCTCGATAAGTAACGCTACGACCGGTAGGATATCGCTTTAGGGCGTTTAGTAACGGACTTTATTATTAAAACAGTGCGACTTACTAAGGATACTAGTATACGGAAATCGAACCGGCTCTTAGAAGCTTATTGTCGAATAGATCCGCGCCTCTAATTAAATATAGACGAGCTAAATTGTCGTATAAAGGTCGATAAGTAGGTTACGTACTATAAGAAGTAGGCATTAATCTAGGAATATATGCTTTCGTCCTCGTCTAATCGTCGCCTAGACGCTACGACTAGGAATATTAGCCGCGCTAGTAAGGCTACCTAGTAGAACCGATACGAAGGGAACGCCTCTTATACCCTAGCGAGCTTCGCTCTAGTAAGAGCGTCCCCTAACTACTAGAACCGCGATATCGACCGACCGAACCTACTACGCCTTACTAACGCCTATTAGTAGAATCGCCTGCCTAATGCCCCTTAGTAGAATCGCCTACCGCTAGTAGGAAATAGTAAAGGACCGTTAAAGGATAGTAGCCCTACCTTCCTTCTAAAAGACCTAAAGCGAGTCGATTCGCGCCTATTTAATCGATAGGATAGAAAGCGTAACGATCGAGCTCGTAAGTAGGCTAACTTTACCGATAATAGTAAGAGAGCGGGCGATACTATAAATAATACTAACTAAGCCGACGACGGCTATTAGGAGGATAGTTAGGAGGATAATAGGAGAACCGACGCGGATAATTATAGCTATTTTAGTAACGCTAGAGAAGACGCCGACTACTTTACCGACCTATACGACTCCGATCCGAGCTTAGAAGCTTACTTTATAGACATAGGCGATCGCTCGCTATTAGCGTTAAACTCGGTACTATAGGCTAAAGCGTCCCTACTAGCGGCGATCTAACTATTTGCCTCTACGAAGTACGCTTATAAGGTCTATAGGCGGCGATTCAAGTTAGGCAACCTTCTATACTAGTATATTCGTAAGAAGTATATAGGGGCGACGACGCCTTCTACTATTATCGAACGCGTATTAGCAAACCCGGAAGTAATTTAGTCGAAGGCGCCTCCGTTAGCTTAGTAAGGTTACGTATTCTAGAATTAGTAATATATAACTTTCCCTCTTCGGTTATTACTATCTAGTATATCTATATAGGTCTGCCTAGATACTAGCTATATACTTACTATTACGGAAAAAGACTTCGTTTTAAGCTATTACCTAGACGTAGAGGTACGTAAGCTACGCGAACCGATCGAAATTAGCGGCATAACCGGCGTATATCGCTCCGGGGAATACGTCGTATTAGATATATTTGTCTTAGTAGCGAAGACAGACAGTATAGTCTCCCTAGTACGAATAACTCGCGAGGTTTACCTAGTTCCTAAACTAAAGGCAAAAATCCTAGTTAGTATAGATACGATTGCCCTAGAGGGAATAAAGATCGATATTCCCGTATAGACGGTTACCGTAGCTAGTTAGGACAACGCCCGCTTTAAAGTAGCCGTTAAGCGTAAGAAAGGGAAGTCGGTTTAGCGCCCTATAAGGCTAGCGGAGGACGTAACATTAGCGCCGCGTACGGTCGCCCTCGCTCTAGTTAAGTACGGCGGCGACCTCCCTAAGGGCCGGGATTTTATTCTTAACGCTAGTTTCTTAGTCTAGCTAACTAGTAATATATAGGGATTGTCGTTACAAGCTCCGCCGTTAGTAACGGCGTATAATTAGGTCGTAGACGCTAATTTTTCTTATATATACATTCGTAACGATACGACGACTCTAGTAACGATTCGAGCCGGATAGCTACTCGGTTTATTAAGTAATAGGACTATTGCTAGGGCCTACTATATCGACGTAGCCGACTATAGACTAGCGGGATTAAGTCCTAACGCTTTTACGGCTACGCGGGATATACTAAATATATAGTAGGAATACTAGTACGCGTTAGGCGTAACGATCTATAGTAACGATAACTAGGTAGACTAAATCGCTATAGCGGTCGAGCGGTACCCGGAGCTTTTTATAGATCGCTAAACGGTAGTTAATATTCCCGAGCACGATTATATACCTATCCTAACCGTACTAAATTACCTAGATCTATTGCCGCCCCCCCGTATAATTAATCTAGGCAAGAGGGATCGTAAAGTAGTAGACAAGATATATAACGACCTATACCGCTAGGGGAAGATATAGTATATAACCGAGCCTACGCCCTTCGGCTTTCTAGTATTTGTCGTATAGAAGCGCGTTACTAACGGTAAAGGTAGTATAATTAATAAGCCGCAGGCGGTAGTCGATATATGCGCCTTAAATAAGGTAACGATCCTCGATAGCTATTAGATACCGCTCTAGGCGGATCTCTTTGTATAGTTAGTAGGGTGCTAGTATATTAGCACTATAGACTGTCTAACCTTCTTCTACTAATAGGGCGTAAAGCCGGAGGATCGTTACAAATTAACGATTAATACTTATCGTAGCTAGGAACAGTATAAGGTCGCTATTATAGGATATTCGAATAGTGTCTAATTCGTATAGCGGAAGCTAGATCAGATCCTTCGCGACTGTCGTAGCTTTACGCGAGCTTATATCGACGATATCGTAGTGTTTTCGAAGACGTTGCCTAAGTATCTCGATTATCTAGAAGCGGTCTTCTAGAGATTAGACGCCGTAAGGATTAGCATTAGTCCGAAGAAGACTTTCTTAGGCTTCCTCTCTACGACCCTTTTAGGTTAGTACGTTAGCGGCCTCGGTCTAGCTACAAGTAAAGAGAAAATCGTAGCGATTACCTTACTTTAGTTCCTAGAGAACGTATAGAAGCTAGAGTATTATCTCGGTCTAACTAATTAGTTGCGGCAATACATCCTATACTACGTATAGATAGCGGCGCCTCTATAGGCAGAGAAGATACGCTTATTAAAAGGGGCGCTAGTTACCGGCAATAGTCGTCGCCGGTACGTCGCCGTTACGACGCTAGGTAAGAACGATTAGCACCGCGACGAGCTAGTAAAAGCGTTTCGCTTATTGTAATCGATATTCTACGAGCCCTCCTTCCTATACTATTTCGACCCTAACTGTCGCTTATACGCTAATATAGATTCCTCTAAAGAGTTTAGCTATAGTGTAGTGCTCTACTATATCGATAGGGACCTAGACTCTATTCTATCTAAGGGAAAGGCGTAGTTGTTTCCTTATTACAAGGTTTAGCCTATTTTGTTCTTAAGCCGAGGCCTAACTTAGGCGGAGATATAATATTAGCCGATAGAGCTCGAATACTCGGGAATTGTATAGATAGTAAAGAAGGTAGGCTATTTAATATATACTTTATCGAGGCCGACGACTATCTTTATAGACTACTATACCGCGGTTAGTCTTACTAACTTAGTAACGATAACTACGACTACCGATATAGGTAAGTAGAACCTAAAATTAGTAAGGGTATCGATATTCCTTTCCTAATATCGAGTCGATATAGTTTACCGTCTAGGGCGGATATACCTAGTTCTAGACGCCCTTAGTCGACTTCTAGGAAACACGGAGTTGCCTAAGCTAACGCCGGACGAGGAGAATTTAGACCCGCTCTCTTACTATACTAACGCTACGCCCTCTTCGGCCGATTTAGAGGAAGTAGCCTACTTCTATACGATATTAGTAGAGCTAGATCCGGATTTCCGACGTCGGTTAAACCGAGCGTACGATAACGACGAATATTAGTCTAGGGTTTTACGACTAGTTCGATAAGCGTAGGCGCGGAATACTTTAGAGCGTCTCTATTCGGAGGGAGCTAATATACCTTCGGTAACTAAAACGCTAGTTCGGTATAAGGGTAGCAAAAATCCGGACCTATTCGTAGGTAATAAGTTTAATAGTCCGCTAGGCATTCGATTCTTCGAGAGGGACGGCCTCTTATATTTCTATAACTAATCTTTAGGGCGCGAGCGACTCTATATCTCTCGAGCCTTAATAGGCGAGATCTTCGAGTAGGCTTACGATAACCGTTACTACTAAGGCTTTTAGCGCGTCTTTAACCGCATTTAAGCTTCCTTCTTTATATATCGACTCGCTCGCTACCTTTGCCTCTATTTAGATTATTATTACTAGTATCTCCTTTTGCGTACCCCCCGATATACTCCTTACGGCGAACTTTACCTAATCTAGAATGCGGAGGGCCTATACTATACTATAACGATAGATCTCGTAACCGCCTTACCGGTTACGACCGATAGTTTTAATATACTATATACGATTACTTATAAGACGTCTAAGCGGGTAGCAGTCGTCCTAGGCAAAGAGGACTAGAAGGCCTACGACTAAGGCATCGCTCTAATCGATAGGCTTTGCTTAATAGATATAAGTTTGCTAGTAGTGCTTATCGCTAACCGTAATCCTCGCTAGCTAAGCGACTTCTTTAAGGGCGTTTTCTCGCGCCTACGTACGAAGCTAGCTACGTCTACGGCCTACTACCCTTAAACCGATAGTTAATCCGAGCGAACTAACTAAACGGTCGAGACGGCGATTCGTTACTAGTTAGCGGATTATCCTAGCGAGGATTAGACGACGTTTATCCTATAGCTATAAGCTACGCTTAATAACTCCTATAATACAACTACCGGTTAGTCGCTAAACGAGGTTGCTATAGGCGTAAGGACGAATCTCGACTCGCTCGATATACTATACGACTATCCGTATAATAGGGCGGTAGCGCGTAGCCGTATCTAGAAGGAAGTCTAGGACGCAATTACTTAGGCGAACGTAAAAATAAAAGAACGGTATAATAGTAAGTATAAGCCCCTATTTCTTAAGCTAGGTAACTGTATTATACTTCGCCTATACTATAGTTACGAAGTACTAGGTTAGTCGTATAAGTTTAGCTACTGTTTTAAAGGGCCTTTTACAATTCTTAAGAAAGTCGGACGACTAGCCTACTATCTCGAGTTGCCGCTATTAATACGTATCTATCCGGTAATATTAGTTTCGTAGTTAGAAAAAGCTCCTAAAGACCTAGATCCTTTTAAGAGAACTATTAATTACGAGCCCCCGCCCGTCGTAGCTAAGAATAGTCTAGGTTCTAGCGACGAGAGCGACTCTTACGAAATCGAGCGCTTTCTTAGGCGACGGACTGTCGTCTAAAGAGGCTAGCCCGTTCTCTAATACCTAGTAAAGTAGAAAGGGTATAGGAGCGCCTATAATATATAGTATAATATCGACGACTTAACGGGCGCGGACGATCTACGTAAAATCTACGATAACGTATACCCTCTAGAGAAGGCACCGCTATCCCGTGCCCTCTATAGGGTAGTAAAGCGGACGAGAGCTTACTAGCCTTTTTTAGAGGTTGCTAGCTCCGCCGACAAAGGCGAGGCCGGACAATCCCTTACGGTTCGTCGTAAATTAATACGACTCTGCGGCGCGACTCCTTCTTCGGAGTCGTAATCCGCCTAGGCGTACCCTTATATCGTTATCGTAACTACGTTACTTAGGCAACTATTATACGTAGACGCGGGCTATCCCTTATTTAGCATCGATCTTTCCGGACAATAAGGGAGCTTTCTATTAATTACCGACGACAAATAGGAATAGCCCTTAAGCGCGACAACTACGTCCGTCGCGGGGAACGTAAACTAGTAGCTTTTTAGAAAAAATTTCTATAGTACCGATCGCGATATAAGCGCCTAAACGTTATATTATTTAAGGCGGATTTATAGCACCTGTCTCGCTTATACTATAAGGCCGACACGTTCGACTTCCTCTAAGGAGCGATAGCTAAGGAATATCGTAAAAGCGAGGATCGAGAACCCTAGGACACCGCGATAGGGAATAGTAAGGTTAACGCTCCTCGCGGGGAACCGCTACTATTAGACGGTCTAGGATCGGCCGGACAGTCCTTGTTTGTTACCGGCTTAATGCCTACGTCTAAGCTAGAGAGTAGGGCAAGCAATAAGGATATAGTATTAGATACTACGGTCGAGAGGTATATAGCCGCGCCTAAGCTAGATAATATAACGAACAAGGAGGTTATAGTATTAGATACTACGGTCGAAAGTCGTATAGCCGCGCCGGAGGCAGATAATATAATAGATAAAGAGGATGCGGTATTAGACGAAACGGTCGAGAATCGTATAGCCGCGCCGGAGCCTAAGGATATAACGAACGAGAAGGATATAACGCTTAATACTATAGTCGAGGAACGTACGGCTACGCCTAAGCTAGAGAATTTAGAGGGCCCGGAAAAGGACTCGGTAGGTAGAGAAGACGTAATAGCGGATTAGATCGGCGAGTATCGTAGAGAGATAGATAACGCTACGCTTAACCCGTAATAAACGCGTCTAGAGGAACACGGTACTAACCTAGCGTAGACGCTAGAGGGCTTTACGATCCTCGCTACGGCGGAAGGCAATCTTCGATAGACCTTTCGTAAGGCGCTATCGCTTATTTCTACTAACGGTAGTTTAAGTACCGGCGAGGTTTAGGCGGTGTTAAGCTACGCTACTAAGAATAGATATATACGGCCTTTCCTAATATTTACCGAGGACAGATTAGATATAGAACTATACTACGTATTAATAGACTCCGGTCGATAACTATTATAGCGACACGCCCTATTATTCTTAGGCCGTAGTCGCATTAACGATACGCTAATAGCGAGCTTAGTACCGTTACCCCCGGCTAATAATACAGACGAATCCGATTTAGAATTACTCGAGGTAATAGCTCGCCCGTAATCGTAGGGGACGCCGGGTAGCGAGTTTAGTACTATATAGCGTTAGACTATTGCTAGCCTATCGATAGTGCTTCCGAATCTAGACTGTCTGCTCTCTAATATTAGACGGTTCTTCTTTCTAAAATATTGCATACTAGCGGTTATTGCGGCGGTTAATCTAGATTACGTTTTCGATAGAAAGTCGTTTATATAGGCGGTTACGGCGCTTACTACGAAGAAGAAATAGTTAATAGAGCTAGCGAAGGCGTTACTAGGCGAGGGCCGATAGACAGGCCGAGCGCTCTATAAGGCTATAGTCGACTACTTTATCGATAAGGACGACCCTCCGCTATACTATTTAGGTAAATAGGAGTTTATTTAGAAGGGTAAAGCGTTATAGGTCGAGATTCTAGAGGCCGAGAAGCTATAGGACATCGTGCTAGGCTTCTTTGCCCTTTACCGAGACGCCGCTGCCTACGCGTCTAGTAGCCTAGTTAACGGTACGGAAAGCGGCCCGATTAATCCTATTAGCGCGTAGCCTTTTAACGCGCCTTCGGCTTTAGAATCGGCACTACTATTAATAATACCTATAAATCGACCGGCTTTACTAGAATTACCGTCTCCGCTAGCGTATATACTTCCTAATTTACCGCTACTATAGGCACTCGCCTTCCTAACGTAGGCGCCGAGTAACGGCTCGCTATAAGCGCCTATACTAGCTCCTCCTAAGCTCCTAGCTACTCCGATCGAGTCGGTTTTTAAGGAACCTCTAGTCCTATTCCCTAAAAAACTTAAGTTCGAGCGGTAGCGGCTTCGAGGCTAGCGCGCGCGCTAGACTTTAATTAATAAGCGTCTCCTTCGCGCTAACGAGACGCCTAAGTAAGCTATAATCCGGTAGTGCGTAGAGTACGAGGACTATAATAAGAAAGTCGATGCGCTAATCGCCGCTAATCCTATAGAGCGTAATAAGAATAGAGACGTACGCTTTATCTAGGCCGCGAAGCTCGTACGTAACGCGTACGCTAAGGACGCTAACGGTCGGCTACCTAATCTTTTTCGCCTACGCCTATATAAGCGAATAGTCGAATACTATTTAGTAAGGCTTTAGTATTACCTACATTATCTGTACCTTATAGCTAGCGATCGGCGCTTCTAGATTCTACGCGAATTGTATTAGTATATAGGCAAGCTAGTTACTAATTTTAAAAACCTACTCTTTACGTAACCGTACTCCTTCCGAATCGTAAACAACGATCTCGCCCGTAAATACTCTATCTTTAGGACCGACCTCTACTCGGACGGTTACGATACGTAGTAGAAGATTTACGCGATTCGCTTTAGCGAGTACGTAGCGCTTATAACGGCGGGCGAATTAAAGGAGCTTCCTAACCTAGCTAACCTCGATACGAATTTTCTACTAACTATTACTTTCTACTACGTAAAGTTGTATTACCGACTCCTAGTAAATATTACCCGCTTACGCGAGAACTTCCTTAGCTTAAGCACCTATACCGGCGACCTACGATTCTAGCTAGCACTGTCTCTAATCTGCAATAGAGCCGTCGGTCTTATAGTACGCGCTATCTTATACTTCCTATAGATAGTCGACCTCGTATAAGAGTAGTTCTACCGCTTCGTCCTAAAAGAATATCGCGATAGTATTATAGTAGGCGGTTACCCGGTCCTATATAAGCGTAGCGAGAACGGTAAGGACATATCCTACCGTAACTACGGTAAGGAATACCTAAAGACAGGCAAGCGACCTATTAGCGAACACGTCGGAGCGACGAAGCATTATAAGATCGACCTAACTACCTACGGCGAAGTCTAATTCTTATAGATAGTAGCTACCGGACGACTCTCGATAGTGCGCCTACCTCTACTAGACTCCTAGCTTAAGGACTATATAGTTTAGCTACTACTAATCGGCATAGAACTTAGTGCCTAGTCGGCTATATAGCTCTATAAGTAGTACGAGTCGTCCCTTAATTCTAGTAGTTTGCCCTACCTATACCGTCGTAACCTAGGTCGCCTAGCTATTACCTAGGATGTCGTCGCTTATACCTAGCGGTATATTACGGTCTGTAACGCTTATACGCTTCGTAGTAAGGGCTATACATCCGCCCTCTATACTAATAAGGCGCTTACGGATACGAAGGCTACTAATACGTCGCGTACGGAATAGTACGCTTAGCTTATAGGTAGCGGTCGCTACTAGAACGGTACCTATACCGCTAATAAGGGCAAAGGTATACCTCTACTGCTTCTTAACCGTTAATGCCCGGTAGACTTTAGCCTAGTCTGCTAGCTAACTTAGATCGATCCGGTATACGCCTTATCTACCTTTATCGCCTATATCTAGACGCTTAAGGACGGCGCTATCCCTAATAGATTAGAGCCCGCGCTAACGCTACAGTTCTATAATTTGCCGAAGACGGTCTCTACTAATCTAGTCTTCGATCCTTTAGGCGTCTAGGAGCGTATTATATAGGGCAATACTATTTTTAAGTACGATAAGATAGTAACAAATAAGAATTACTAGTAGTATAATATCGACTATACTTAGGATCCTATAGGCGTATTCCTAGTACTATTACCCGACTACTCGCTAGACGAGACTAACCTTACTAACGCGTACCTCTTTAGTAAAATCTTCCCTTCTAAGCTCGCGACTCGGGCTAAGCCGCAACCTCCGGCCGTTACTCCGCTAACTAAGGCGATCTAGCTAAACTCCTCGCGCGTATTACTATCGACTAAGTTAAATACTCGCTAGAAGCTAACCGCTAGCCCGTTCTTAGCGCCTCGCCTATCGTCGAAGATACCGCTACTATCTAACCTATTCTCTACGCCTACGAAGGCTCTAGCTACGGCTTAGCTACTACCGCCTAACAATACGGTTGCGTAGCTATAGTACAAGCTCCTAGCGCTTCCGATACGCTTACTACCTTTGCCCGCTCTATAGGAAAATACTATAGGCGCTTACGGACAATACTAATACAATGCGACGGCAATTAGTATACGTACGCTTAACTTATAAGCTCTCTACTATATACGCTAGTCCGAGTTAGTAGCAACCGAGGTATACTAGCTATAATAGATACTAGCTAAGGTACAGATCCGCGAAGCAACTAAGCGCTAGATAGCCTAGCAGTGTCGTCTTTCCGCTATAGTCTTAAAGGAGTCGCTTACGCTATCGCTAACCTATCTTTACTACGATTTCTTACGCGTCGCGCCGTAATAGGCAATCCCTATACTATACCTAATCTACGAGGACGCTTTTAAGCTACTCGGCGGCGTATAAGGCAATACTACTAAGGATAAGATCGCGAAGCTTAATACATAGATAGCCGACTACTTTAAGCTATACGGTACTATACGCGACGCCGATACGCTACTATTACTAGGTGCCGACTTCCCTAATATCCCTATCGATTAGTTAGACCGCGCTACTACTATAGCGGACGTAGTTAATACCTCGCTATCCGATAACAAGACTATAAAGACCGTCGCGCCTTAGCCGCAGCTAAAGGCGGTTTAGACTATACCGACTAGCTTACGCGACGCCCTTCGTAACCGTCGTAATAAGCAAGTATAAAACCGACGCAGTTATTACTAGAGAGACACGATTCTGTACCTAGCATTACCGTTCTAGCATACTGTTTAGGCTTAGCCTTTATGCGACGCTATTACGCTCTTTTGCCTTAAACCTTCCTTTAGTGCGGCCTACTAAGGACCTTTGTTTTAGGACACTATAGACAGTACCGACCTTTTTTATAGGGGGGGAGGCTGTTACGATATAACACTATTACATGTACGATAGTAGGCAGCGGTTACTATCGACCGCTACGGTCGCTATTGCTACTAATAGTAGGACTATTATATAGATAGCTTGCCTCGCGGTACCTTAGAGAATGCATTAACTTTTGCACCGTATAACCGTTACGATACCTTCGTACTATAACCGTATGCCTAGCATACCTCTTTATATCGATATATTATTACTATTGCTACTACTATAGCACTCGCTCGGTAGTCCGCTGCCTACAATTTAGCTAGTTAAATAGTAATAGCCGTATAGTCGCTCTATATCCGTAGTAAGCTTATTAAGTAACTACTACTCGAGCTATAGCGATAGTAGTAAGCTAGATCAAACCCTAAATTCAACTCTACTAAGGCTAGTTGTTATTAGAGGTATAGACACTTCTTTAACGGCTTATCTATAGCGACAACAATAGCGACAATAACAGGTTGTAGTCTAACAACCTATACTAGAGTCTTCTTAATCTACTAATAATAGTGCTTCTTAATCTACTAATAGTAGTGCTAGTGCTAAAGACCTATAGCACAACTTTAACCTACCGGAAGGGGTAGAAGATAAATACAACCGAGTCTATAGAGATAGCCGCATTTCCGATAACTTTGCCTTATTAATTATTAAGCACTTCGAGGCTAATGCTAGCTATTATATAGAGGGTCGTATAAGAGACATAGTTAAGCGCTATTAGAAGTAGTATAACGATAATAGGCCTACTAGATAACGAGCTATTAAAGGCATAGACGGACTTATTCGGAGGTAGATTAGAAAGCGAGTTGTCGAGTATAGAACACTGCTTACGGCTTCTAGTATAGTTGCTAAGGACTCTAAGTTTATATAGATACTTGATCGCTTTAAGGACACTATATTACTAAACAATAAGAAGGTCCGTAATAAGCTTCTTACACCTAAAGAGCTACGTAGTTACAAGACTCTAGCTTAGTAGGTTTAAGACAATATACTCCGTATTATGTCGTAGCGAGTCTAAGATCTAGTAGCGTTTATAAGTCTATTAATACCGAGTCCAATTGTCGCTCTAGCACTATCTCTAGCACTATTAATACTATTACTAAGCCTAGCTCTTTCTAAGGTTCCTACGACTATATATATAACGCGCCGTCGGTTAGATATCGACAGTAAGAAGCAGCTAAATAAGGAGAGGTCGTTAAGTCGAGTATTAGAGCCGTTTCGAGAGGCAATTACTGCACTAGCGAGTCGACCTACTAACTTATTATCTAAGGCAAACTATATAAACAACTACTATTTAATCCGCCGTATAGACGATATAGACAACCGCTCTAAGAAGCGTATAAAGCTAATATACGCGTCGACGGTACGTTAATTTAATAAGCTTAGAGCCCTACTAGTTAGCTGTATTAGATATAGTCCTCTTATTCCTTTGTAGCTATCTTAGGTTACCGACTTTAGCTTAGATAAGAGCCTCGTTACTAACGTATTAACGCTATTAGGAGGTAGTAACGACGGCTACGATAGCGATAGAACTGTCTCGTAGGTGTCGGAAGCATTAGGTAATAGAGATTAATAACCGTTAGTGCGTAGATGTTCGTATAATTAAGATATTAGACTTAAGTAAGGAGGATTAAATCGGGCGTATTTTAGTAGGCATTCGGAGCTTAGGTGTGTTCTTGTATTAGTAAGAAACCTAGTAAGAGGCGAATTCTTTAGATTAGTTGTCGCTGTTTATAATACTACCTGTTTAATGTCGCTTTTAAGGTCGAATTTTGAAGATTTCCGGAAATTGCGTTATTCTTAGCTCTTCTCTGCTTCTATCTGTAGCTGCGACATCTAGCAGCAATTAATATAGCTTTAGCTATAGTAAAACGACCCTCCGATGCTATTCCGAGTCTTATACGAGGACTAGTACAGAGAACAGAAAGGTTTTAATATAAGTCTTAGTATATAGCTTAGCATTACATGCACTACACACAATAACTAATCTATTACTATTCTTTATTACTATTATTAATAACCACTTCCCCTACATCTTCTATATTGCTTCTAACCCTAAAGCTATTACTAGATAGGTTTGCGCGTATTAGATCCGGTATTTCTATACCTACTAGCGGCATTAGTAGCAGCTTAGCACCTAGGTAATCTCTAATATCTAGACAGCTCAAATTATAGTAAGCAGCTACCTTATTGCTACGATAACACGATAGGCAGTTAGTAAGCAATACTGCTACTAGATAGTAGGACCCGATTAGTATTAAACCCGTACGTAGACCTTTCTTATATTCGAAGAACGCCTAGTTGTTTGTTACCTTACTAAACCCCTATTCTACCGATTGCCGCAGTGCTAACTACTCCTTTAATACCTACGCTAATGTTAGGTTACGATATCCGCCTCTCTTCGACTTCTACGAGCCGATAATACCGTCTACCTATCTATATATAGAGTCGCCGAATATAAAGAGCTTGTTATCGATAATATTATTATTATTAAATAGGTCGTGCTATAGCTAGTTAATCTTCGATTCGCGTACTATTCGGCTATTACTATAAGAGCTAGGATAAGGACTATTAATAAGTAGTATTCTATCCGCTAGCTGCACCCCTTAGAATTTAATACTATAGAAGTGTTTATGCCTATTATAGAACACCCGTTAGTTACGACTAGGCCTAGCAATCTTCCTTATAGTGCTATTAATATATCTAAAGATACTAGACACTCTAACTAATAGATATAGCGACTTAGCTAGGCTCCGGAGGTATTGCTTAGTAAGCCGCCTCTTATTAAAGAACAAGAAAGATTTCTATCTTAGCGCTAGGCTATATACTGTAGTATTAAACATATAACTTAGTATAGTTGCTAAGTACCTAAATAAGTTATCTATATCCTTCTAGAAGCCTAGACTAGATAAGCGCTTACAAATAATATAAAGTACTATAGAAGGCGGCAATTTAAGTCTAACTAGCAATACGATTAAACTAATATCTAGTAGGTCTACTAATTCTATTAGCTTAGGCCTTATAAACCGGAAGTTACCCTTAATATTAGCCTCCGGATAACTAAGAAGATTAAAGCGCTGTTTTAAGTAGATTCTCGCTAGCTCGAATAGTCGATTTCGGCGTAACTAGCGGTACTAATATTTACGTATAGACTCGCCCTCTCGCTACGCCTACCGCTCCTTATTACTACTATCTTCTAGGTATTTACTCGCAACAATAACGGCTATTATAGTAGCTATAGTAACGACAATCGCTTTGTTTTCTATAGGTGCTATATACTACTATCTATAGCTAAAGTCTATACCCTAGAAGGTCTAGAAACAGGGGCTCTTTACACGCTAAACCGCTTTCAATTATATGCCAATTGGCCTCTTCTGAAGGTCCGTAATAAGCGCTACATTAATCCTTCAGTCAACGGTTACAAACTAGCGCTTCTTTAGAAGCCGGTAGTCAGATTGACCACTTCTGAAGGTCCCTAATGCGAAGATCTCAATCAGACCCCTCACAAAGCACGTTGCATACACCGCCATCTGCCGTCTTCAGACTGAGTTCACTCTCGAACGGGTCGCTGGTCGGGGAAAGGTCCAGGTTCATCTTGGCGCGAAGGGTTGAGCCTTGATCACCGAGGCATTTGTTCCGATCAATGGAGACTCCGAGATCTGGTCTCGGGTCGCTCCAGACCTGCACTGGCATGCCGAACGCCTTGTTTACCCGGTCGCGCCTGCTTCAATCAACGACTTGAGCTTGACCTTATTGATTCGGTAATGGAGGTTCATGCTATCTTCGACCAGCAGTGGCTCTTCCGCTACATCTTGAGCAGTGGCTTTCTTCGTCGCGTTGCTCATTTTGGCATCAATTGTCCCTGTCCTTGTCGTTGTCGAGAGACTAGATCAGTGCGTCGTTGAGTGCTGGCGCTAGCGCTAGTAGCCCAGAATAGCGCAGTGTCGAACGTTTTGTTGTTGTAGCCAGCGCCGAATATCCGGGGTTGCGTCAGCCACTCCACCCCTCGCCCCGGGCTCCTTGGAGATGATGTCCTGAACGCTAGCTAAGGACTCCTTCTGCATTGCGGCGATCGGCTTCAATGGCTTGCGAGTGGGTGTGCCAGTACCCGCTCTTGGTCTCTTGAACTTTGTTGCCTTACGTACACAGCGGGAGCCACTTCAGCCTTGCTCTTGTCCTTAATGGAGCTCTCTGGCAGTGGTCGCTCATCACCGCTCGAGGGGTACACTCGGCGCCGCTTCATTTTCGCATCGAGAACATGCTCGTCTCGTCTACGGCGTCGGTAAGAATCTGAGCCAGAGTCAGAGCCAAAGCCAGAGCTCGAGCCAGTGCCAGTGCCAGAAGCACAACTACAACCAGAACCTGCACCAGAACCTGCACTAGCACTAGCACCAGCACCAGCACCCGCAAAAGTCCTTCAATTACCAGAGCTGTTGATGAAATGCTGTACGATCTCCTCCATCTGCGTCTTTAATGGCTAAAAATGTCGCTACAATGCTGTATGATGTTCTCCATCTGCTTGTCCGAGAGCTAAAGACTGGATGCTGCCGGACCTTCTTCAGCTACTTCTTCAGCAATCGAAGGTGCTCCTATGAGTCGGATCTTCTTCTGCAACTGCTTCTCCCACAGCCAGAGATATTGGTGAAATGCTGTACGATTTTCTTTGGCTGCTTTTCCAGCAACCAAAGGCGCTGCCGGAATGCGATACAACGGTCTTGAGCTGCTGTCTATCAACTTTCGGGGTTGCTATTTTCCAATGCTGGGTAATGCTCTTCGGGTGAGCTCTGTACTCTTGAGTTGTATCCATCGAGTTTCGGGGTTGCTGCTTCAATGCTGGATGATGCTCTTCGGCTGAGCTTTGTACTCTTGAGTTTCTGTCCATCAAATTTCGGGGTTGCTGCTTCAATGATAGACGATGCTCTTCGGCTGAGCTTTGTGCTCTTGACTTGCTGTTCAACTTTCGGGGTTGCTACTTCAATGCTGGACGATGCTCTTCAGCTAGCCTTCGTAGTCTTCAGCCGACCTTTGCAATCTTCCGCCTTCCTACTCTTCTGCTGGTATTCCTATTCTTGTGCTGATGTTGGTCCTCTTCGCATAGCCTCGATACTCCTCAGACTTCTTCTTGGTGTCTAGAGGCGTCTCTCGAGTACTATACCCTACTCGATCGAGGCTTCCGAAGCTCCGAGGGCAGTGTTGAAAGTGTGCTTGCTGTCCACTCTGCGATGCACAACGATCTCGGATTGTGGGAAAACCGCAAGTCTGCTGGCCTTCGGACCGATTCTTTGGAAGATGTTGGAAGCCCGATGGAATGCTTTACTGGTATGAGAAAAGAATACGCCGCCGCTGTCCGACAACTGCTGTTCGTCGACGGCATTTTCAAAGCAGCCCACTCAACTCGCAGGGAGTCTCGCCTTTGTACTGCCGCATACCTGCCCGTGTGCTTTTTTCATCCTGAAGGGTCAACTTACTAAGTCCTGCTTACGATGAATTCACTGGGGCACTTGCTATGCCAGTGAGCGCTGAGAAAGGCGATCTCCAAGGCTGCGGTGCCTGTCCGCCCCAACTGGTATGGCCTTTCGAAGGATCAATTATCTTAGCTGCTCCTCAGACCTCCTTCCTCCTAGCGGGTACGCTGCTGGGTGTTGAATGCTGTTGAATGCCGCAGGTTCGGACTGGTTCGTTTGGCCAGGACATGCTGCCATTCGCTGTCTGCCGCGTATCCAGATCTTGTTCTTCATACCCATCTATGGCCATACAAGAGGTTGATTCTCGATCAGTTGACATGCTGCTGATAGATTGTTTTCGTCGCCGGGGTGCAAGGCTGCCTGCGGGACATGTGGCAATGTACCGCGTCGGCTGCTCTCCGCAGGCATGCTTGGGTGAGGGATGGGTATAATAATGAGCTGTCATTACCATTCGTGGGCCGGGGAATGATAGGGAGGCCCATACATACCAGATTGTCAATGGAGGTTCTCGGAGGTTCTCACCGCCTCCACCAACCCACCTCTACGACCAACTTTCTATGTTTGCCCTCGCACTATACTCGCTATTAACTCGCAAAATGCCTCTACGTATCGATCTCTCGCTATAGAGGGCTTAGATAACCTTACAAGTCAATAGCGGTACTATATAAAGCGAAATCCTATAGCACCTTATATAAGAGACTAGTTACTAGATAGCTCTTTCTACGCTTTGTCGAAGGCTTAAGGAATAGGGGGTTAATTATAGCCATTACGCTTATTATAACCGAGTAAATAATGTCGAGGCACTAAACATCCGAGTCGTATATACCTTCTCCGCTTTACGCTTAACTAATAAAGAGGCGGTTAAAGTACTAAAGATAGATAGATTTAACATTAGCGAGCGGAGATATTAACGGATACGTTAAGAGCTTAAATTAAAGAAGGCATTATCGCGAGATAAATAGATAGAGGCGGAAGAGGAGATAGTAGAGGTCTTATAGGAAGAGCTCAAGAAGTCTTCGGTAGAGTCCTTCGGCCGACGGCACCTATATACCTATATTAGGTCTAAATACAATATTATTAGTAGAGATCGGCTATATCGTATAGCTTCCTTACTAAATCCTAAAGGGTTGCGAGTCCGCCGCGAGCGGGCGCGAGAGTACTATAGAGCGATTATTATACCCGGCCCTAGTTACGTAATATTAATAGATACTTATTATAAATTCGAGCATTAGGGGATATAGATCTACGTAGCGATTAATATTCACTCGCGTTACATTATCTAGATCTATATAGGTATTACTAGCCGGATAGCTGTCTCTATACTAGCTTAATACCTTACAACGATCCGGAATAGTAGTATAATACTATAGATTATCCGATTAGACTATAGGGTAGAGACGATTCTAGCCGCGGACGCTTACTATAAGACTCGCCTTACGACTCGTAGTAATCCGGAACAACCGCTAGCCTTCGAGGACTGCTTTAAATACGGTACGAGCAAGATAAACTAGCGGATTAAGGCATAGTAGCGTTAGCAAGCACCCGTACTAAATAGCTAGAGGGGCTATTTCTACGAGTTACTATACGAGTTACTATACGATACTAGACTACTAGCGGATCGGATTGCCTTCCTTGCAATCTATATACTAATTATACGTTATAAAGTCCTCGAATTTGTTTACCTCTAGAATAGCTATCGTATCCGGAAGTAGGCTAATCGACTATACGTTGTACTAGGTATTCCGTATATTCTATACTATTATCTAGAGCTTAGCGGGCATTCTTATTAAGGTATTCCTATACCTAACGGCGCACTTAATAATATAGAGCAAGACCTTTAAGGATTCGGTATATATTAGATTCTATAGTACTCGCTATAGACTCGCTAATAGACTCGCTACTTCCTAGATCTTAAAGCCTACCTGCCCGAGGCTACGCTTTCTTAGTGTTAGATAGCATTGTAGATTTATAGCTTCTCGTATCTAGTAAGTAGTAGCGAGAATAGCGATAATATAGAGCGCCTTTACCGCTCTGCCTACTTACTTCTTCGACGGCTAGCTAGGGAGCATATAGCTATAGGGTTAGAGCCGGAACTAATAGAGTTAGATAAGCTATTAGCAGCACGTAGTTAGTTAGCGGCGGCTCGGAATTAGGAAGCTAGGATAATTGAGTTTGCAAATAATATATACTAATCGGCGATCTACGAGCCGGCCGCGAGTATATAGCGAGTCGCTTTTTCTAGTTCGATTTTATCTATAACCTTCTTAAACCTCTACTATTTCTACCTCTACCTCTATTTATCTAACAATGCCTACTAATCTAACAATGCCTACTAATTAGGGCACCTATTACACTAAATTAGGCGTCGACTATGTAAAGATATATAGTAAATACCGATTCTGTTTACAATGCGGCCTTCTTAATCCCGATCTACTAAGCGAGCAATTTGTTCGCGAGCAATTAGTAGCCGCCGCTACTACGAGTAGCTCCGCGAGTATAGTACGAGGCTTTAATACGTTCCCCTCTATACCTAAGGCGGCTAATGCTGCACGCAATACTGCTAGTTAGTACAAGCTAGCAACTCGAATACTAAATGCTAGATCTCGGAGCCTCTCGTAACGTCTACTAATACCTACTTTAGCTTTAGCTTTAGCTTTAGCTTTAGCTTTATCGGACCTTAAAGCATAGATATACTATTGCCGCTATTTGATCTATACTTAGCATATACAAGTTAAGCTTACGAGTACAACTAAGACATAGTTCTATAGTAAACCTAACCTATATACTACTATTACGGATGCCTAGTCTAACTAAGAATTCCTCGAAGCCGAGATGACTTTTATAGACTAGATTATCGACCGGATTAACGCCTACGAGCTACTAGATAGTAGTATCGATCGGACCTAGGACTATTTTAACTACTTCCTCTATATAGACTTTAATAAAACAACTAATTAACTAGAGAAGCTAGCAAGTAAGGCGCTTCGATTACTTAGATAGGCTTTAACGGTCTATAAACTAGCAACAAAGTTATTATTAGTCTACGAGATTAAGCTCTATATCTAGACTAAGTAGGAGAAGCAGCAATAATAAAAGCGGAAACATCGGTTAAGTACTATTACTACGAGTACTAGTACGAGTAATATAGCGAGTTAGTAAAAGGTAGTTAATAGTATTAAGATTAAGAAAGAAAAGCTATAGACTAAGAAGGTTATCGATACGAATTAGCCGCCCGAGATAATTAACTTAAGTAGCGATGCTACCGCGAGTATACCGCGAGGTACGCCTATTCCGAAAGGGTCGAGCGAATCGAAGGATTAGCAACCTACTAATAGATAGGCTAATAGCGGCGGACAAGCTAATAGATAGGCTAATAGACAGGCTAATAGCGGCGGATAGGCTAAGAACATAAAGCGTAGTTAACGATTAAAGAAGAAGAGATAGAATAGCAGACTCGTAGTAGACTCGCTATAGACTCGCTCCTTAAACATTATCTACTAGTAGCTCGCGATCGCTATTTAGCTATAGCTCCTTCTATATCGTATATACATCCTTAGACTTAATAATAGCCTTATTCTTAAGCTATTTAAACTACGAGAGGCAATATCCTTCTAACTTATCGAACCTAGCTTCTAATACCTTAATCTTTGCCTCTAGTTTAGTATTCTTTACCTCTACGGCCTCGACTCGCGCCTATATCGCGGCTAGCTCGCTATTTCTATCGTCTTCTTTAACCTCTTCTATACTAGCCGTATAGCTAGACTTGCCCTTATACTTATAATAAGCGTAGATACGCTCGCCCTTAGTATTAAGTATACGATACTTAAAGTTATTAGAGCGTATATAGTAGTAGTATAGCGCTAGTATAAGCTTACTAGAGTCCGTTTCTATAATAATTCTAGCAGCCTTATATTTCTGTAGTCTATTTAATACCGCCTTCTTCTTATCCGGTATCGCTATCTAATCGAGTAGCTCTTACTATATCTGCGCGCTATAGTACTAGAAATCGTAGGTATTTGTAGTCGTAGGGCGTCGAAGTCTAGAGCGAGTTAGTAGCGAGTCTATAGCGATACGCCTCGCGACTTACGATAAATATTCTCCTCCTCCTACTAGTAAGTGCGCTATTAAAGCTAAAGCTAAAGCTAATACTAATGCTGCTAAAGCTACGCTAAGAATGAGGTCGCGCGGAATACTAGTTATAGCGGCTACTACTATCGCTATCGCTGTCGGTATCGGTATCGATAGAAGAAGAACATTGCGAGGCAAGGCGCGGAAGTGTAGCGAGTCTGAGTAAGGTTTGTCGCGACAATAGGTATAGTAAGGTTGGTAAAGAAGGTACAGGAATAATAGGAAGCGACAATAGACTTAAGTGAAGCTAAGCCTCCATTGACAATCTGGTATGTATAGAGCTCCGTCGAATGATCGGCGTCGGCTCGGCATCAGCATCTGCAACACAGCCCGAGTATCGAACCTGCACTTCAGTGGCAATGTGATCTTTGCCAATACACCAACTGCACCAATTTTGCGCGTTGGTTGATCTCCCGCCAACAGACGACTTCAGCACTGCCGGCAAACACGTCCTCAACCAGGCAACTGTTCCTCGGAGGCGAACCGCGTGAAACTCGCGAGCCGCTCAGCCAACAATTGCTACAACCATGCATCGAAAGAATCGAGCCGACCACATGAGCGAAACATATCATCCCAGCTGCACTGCACTATCCTGTCGTCACGACGAATAACAAAGCCGGCTCGGTATTCGAAGACGAACGAGCCAACAATCTTCGCGAAATCGCGCCGCGCCAATCTGGACGGAATAGGACCAGAACCAGAATTTGGCAGTCTCACTTGTCAAAAGACTACGACAAGCGCCTAGTCGCTGCAATCGAACAAGGTCTTTACCGAAAAAAGGAGCACATGGGACATGCTGCTATACAATCTTCTCGTCGACATATCAAGAACACCCGAGCAGCTTACTCTGAGAATCGCTGCATACGACTTCTCAA